AACATTCAAGATTACCGGTGGTCCTTCAACAGTTAACCAACTTCAATCATAATTTTTTTTTTCAAGTTCTCTGCATAATTTGTAACATGATAAACAGTTGCATGTGCACACCCCCTCTTCCACATATTACTTTCTGTAGTACATCCAAGTTTTCAAAACTAAAATGTATCCAATGCCCAGGTGTGGCTGGGCACCCCTAGCTTGTACAGTATAAAGGAATGTATTCATATCTATGCCATTCTCCTGATACACTGGTCATGAATTTTGATGCTACGATAAAAAAAACCTCAAAAGAACATGCAATTGGTGCATTCTGGGACACTAAATGGTTACCCTGGGTCGCTTAGATTCACTTTTACATTATTCCCAAAACAGCAAAAAACAATAGCTTTTTTGTTTGGATTCTAGCCTGATTTTAAAAGCACCCTGCATTTGTCCTGGTTTTTCTTCGGCACAATTCAAGGCGCATTTTCGAGCAGGCAGGGTATACGTACAGTATATCCAGACTCCGGTCTACATTTGCATGCCGCGAGGCACATAAATAATTCCGAACAGGCCATATGCCAGGTTGCATTAGGCTTCTGCTGCTGTGGGTGATGGAAGCCAGCGGGGTTGAACTGCTTTCGAACTTGCTGCCGGAATCAATTAGGAATCCTCTCAGTGGGGGTGAAGGTTATACTCGAATCAGTCTAACGGGGTTTTCCATTTACACGCGTCCGAAAAGCTCGGGGGAAAACCCTTTTCCTTCTCCTTTCTCTTTATACTGCTTAAGCAAATGCGTATTTTCACGGTTTGAACAGGGTATATGAATAAGAGATCGGCTTGGTTTCAATCAAGGACTCGGAAGCAATTTCTGGCAGCAAAGGAAAGTCGAGCAGAAGTTTCAGGTAAAAGCGTGCAGTCCGAATTGGAACATTTTTTGAAACTTAATTCTGATCACGCGTGGTATTAGTTCGGAAAAGTGCGGAAACAGATAAGTTTGGAAAAGAGTTTCAGAAAATTTCTGGCAATTGAACATGTTTCGTGGCGAAGTATTAGTCCATAAATGGTGACGAATAATTTCATGAGTCATGCGACGTTTGGCATCCACGAATGAGATCCTTGAAAAATAATATAATTTTCTTCCTCTCTCCCTCTATTAAAAAAGACAATAATGTTGCCTTTTCGAAATAGTCGTTCAAGATACTGTAGTATTCAAGTTGAGTATTTTTTTTCTTTAAATCAATTGCATGGTGTGAATAGTAAGTGCTCACTAATTCCAAAAATGGAGGACTTGCTCTTGTAGTCTTCCCCAGTTTTCCTCTTTTTGCTAGAAATTGCGTTTCATTCATTAATTGCACCAAGATTTTTTTTTAGATTTCCCAGGCGATTCCCGAAAAAACGTACTGCATACAGAGACGCTCAGTTTTAAGGAGATTTATGTTTCCGAAAATCATTCAATTGAGTTCTCAGTTTACTCACGCATGCATATACGCTCACTCGTGAACACATGCATTGAGATTAAAAAAAAAAAAAAACCACGTACAAAAACATGCGGGATGTAGAAAAGTTTTCTTGATCCACGAAGAAATCCCAGCGAAGCACATGCTGTATATACATATACGACAGACATCATCCCTGGGATTGAAACGAATGCAAACGCATTCGTTCCCGTCAATTGAGGGTCCTCCAAAAGTGCGTGACTCCAAAACGACCGACTTGCGTAAACACGAAGTTAATAAATAACCCCGCTAAACCTATACAGGGATAAGCTTATATAGTCTAAAACGGCATCAGGGAAAAGACGAATTCCGTAAATGTTCGCGAAAATAAATAAATAAAAATAAGCAAGTAAAGAAAACCGCTGCAATGCTTTTAGAAGTCATTCAATATATATATGAGCTCATTCCGACGACAATGAAGGGAGCTCTTGACACCAATTCTTCCGCTCTTCTCTCGTGTACATGAGCGGGGATCTTTTTCCTACCAAGCACCAGGTCGTTCATCACGACCATTGACGGGTATATTCAGAGCTGCTGCGACACCATCTCTGCCATGGATGGGGTCTTGTCTGCAAAGATTTTTCAGACATTCTGAGAGCTATATCTTGCATTTCTCCGCCCCACTCTACCAAAAAAATGATTAGTGAATTCCGGAAAATAAACCCCCTGAGATTCCGGAAGAACTCATTTATTCCTGATAACAAAAATATTTCGTATTGTTTTTTTTTTAAATCAAGACTGCAGCCAGAAAAACCAACTTCAATATCCATACTCTTCCACGCTGTCGTGCGTCCGGAAAAAAAGACAGTTTTCATAATTTACTTATTGTCGAAAAATTCACCTGGGCTCATTAATCACACATTTAAATGAGAAAAACAAAAGTATTCGTCAATTTTAGGACCAGAATGTGCATTTAATGTTTGAGGGGGGGGGGGGTGTTGATCTGTCGCAGAAAGCAACAAAAAACCGAACTGTCAAAAAACCTTTCAGTGACAGGATCCACAAGATGGATAAGAATAAATTAATTACGGATACGAGTGAAATAATATATGGCCAGACAAGAATTCAATTTGGAATTTTTTCTTAAATCGAGGTATCAACGAGAAAAACCAACTCTTTTACGCTTTCGTGCGTCCGGAAAAAATTACAGCTGGTTTCATATTTTACTTCTTTTTTGAGAAATTTACCTGTGCTCATTATTATAGTAACTCCCATTCTTAAATGAGGAGAACAATAAGATATTCGTCAATTAGGACCAGGATGTGCATTTAAAGTTGTGGAGGGGGATGCATTCATGTTTTAATTCGTCGCGGAAAAAAAACCAAAACATCCAACTGCCAAAAATCTAGGATTTCAATAGCAGAAACCACAAGATGGGTAAGAACGAATTAATTAAAACATGTGAACAAATATAGCGAGATAGGAATTCAATTTGGCAACTATACCTGGTCCAATCGAAGGAAAGCTGTTTGCTTATTGAACATTAAAGTTGAGACAATTAATGCTTCAAATGGCGGTCAACAAATAAATAAAATATTCCTGGACACAAATTAGGGATACTCGCTGGCTAGTTCGTAGTTTTCGCGAGATTTGGTTAGATATATTGAATTGCATGTACTGAATTGGCAGAAATGGACCGATGTTTATGAAAAATAAATTCCAAAACAAAACAAAAAAACAAAAAATCCGTGTGCACATGACACTAAACAAATCCTTCCATCAGCGCAGACTTAATTGCTTCTTAAAATTTGCTCCACCATTTGATGAGATCGTGGTCTTTTGATTGCAACACTGATTTTTCATATGTTTTGTCTATTATTAATGCATGTGTTATTTTTTCAAACACTTCGAGCAAATATAATCAATTTCTAATTCCGACTTTATTTCAGATTTGTAAACCGGATTTCATCCAATTCTAAAGGATGAATGATACACAGTAACACATGTTGGCAGTGAAATATAGTGCATAAAGATGTAATATTTTTGCATGAACCGCTCCCTTCTAAAATATTTGATGCACAATATCTCGACTTTTCGTCTTTCAGATGCTCTATATATACTGTAAAATCTTCAAAGAATCGTTTTTTAATGGGTTTGAACGGCCCAAGAAAAATCAAAGGTGACCTTGAGTCATAAAGCACGCTAAAAGCTCAACATCACAGTAACTCGTAAATTCATTTTTATCGCCTCTCAAACGTCATCGTCAAGCCACAACTCAAATGTGGCAAAAGAAACAGTTCGCTTTTTATAACCTTCAAACGAAAAGAAGGATATTCCATAGAAATATTCTGTATAATCCGAGAAAATTGAGAAATTTCGAGATCGTTTCTGAAAAGGATTGAAGATTTATAAGCTGAGCGTTTGGATAATATTTTTCCTCACGCAATATTTCTTGGCAATATTTCTTCATTTGTTGATCGTCGGTGTATTCACAGGAAATACTGACTAATAACGGAAAATGCAGCTTGCATATCAGTACAGTAAAGAGATGTCCTCAAAGGTTCCTATTTCGTGTGTTTCAATCAATAGGCACAGAGAAATTCAAGATAAATTAATTTGAAAGTGATTCAAAGCATGGTGAGCATGAGAAGATTCCATTAACATTTTTTTTTAATGAAGGGACACGTTACTCAGAAGTATGGCCCACAGAATAAAGAAAGAGTGGAAATCCACCAGTGAAACTCAGGTTGAAGACCTTTCAAAGCAATTCATCGAAGAAAATGCTCTTCACGCAGGGATTTAATTCCATGTTTTTTAAAAACCCTCACGAGCAAAAATAAAAAAATACCCGTTAAAATTAGAATCTTTCCATCAGGGTATTGACTGATCACTTTCAGAAGGTGAGATGAACTCTTCCAGCAATCGGTTTTCAAAAAGGTTCTGTGGGAAGTTCTAGAACGCACCATCATCGCTCAATGTGAAGTCCAAAAGGACGGGATATTTCACCTCGGACGGTTTCATTTCTCCCCCGGCCAAAGGGAATAAATCACTGCCTGGGGCCATACGTGTGTGTGTGTGTGTGTGTGTGTGTGTATGTATTCATGTGTGTGTGTGTGTTTCACGTTGATGGGGATATATAGAGTATAGAGAAAAACGAACGATTCACTTGCGCGCGAACTTGTATGAGCGAAGCGACGAGACGCTCGTTGACGCGGTCGAATGGATGGCCAAATATTTGCCCAGTCACCGGGTTTCATCATAATCGGCTTTCGTTTCAAAGCCCGAAACCCGCGATACGCGATACCCTCAAATTCAATGACACTGTCCTCATCCATCACAGACAGAAATGCCTCCCAAAAAAACCGTCCTGAAAAAATTTTTCATTCGTGTTTTTTTGTTTGCTGTTGTTGTTGCGAGCCATATATGATGCGCAAGACCATGAGGAACGTCTGTCTCATTTTGGAAGCGCATAAAATTTTAAATGAATATTTTTGCACGCATAATAATAATAAGCCCTCCTTTTTAAATGTTGCTTTTGATGAATAGTGCACAAGGTATGTGATTGAAACCTTGGAAAATATGGGAGCTGCGAATAAGTGATTCCCAGAAAAATCGACGGGAAGCCTAAAAAGTTATTCGATAACGAACAGACTTAAAGTCCTGACATGGTTTCGAACATATCCAAACTTTCATCGAGAATTATCAATCATATTCTACATCACTTAATTTTAATTTTTCTAATGTTTCATCAAAATCAAGGATTTTCTGACTGCATGATGATCAGCAATGACATTATATTCTTCGGTCGGTGATGCGAAAATGTTGATGAAAAATTTGAAACCCTATCAAATATTTTGATTCCCGCTTCTTCTCATTGCACATTATGTCTGGACTTGAATAAAGACAACTTCGGGAATCGATTTAGAAAATACGATGAGATGAGTTTCAAGATGAGATCGAGGTAATACGAGTAATGCGTTGATCAAATGGAGTGATTTTCACAGTAAAGGAAAACATTTTTCCATGATTTGCGCTGAAGATTTCGAGGAAATCTCGGGACATTCCGACAGCATTCGGATACAATTCCAAAGGAAAGTACAGTTCATGTACTATATTTTCGACTTTTAAGCCAGTTCGTGATGAAAGTTCTCCAATCCGGATTTCCTTCCTGAGTTCTGGCAGCCGTCGTCTTCGTAATCTCTGCATTCGACGACGAAAATGTCTCAAAAGAAAAAACCTCTGTCCCCTAGAATTTGTTGGATGTACAAAATTGTTTTCACTCGTCACCTATACACAACCGAACACATGTGTAGTGTAAATAATAAACTCTTACTCTAGAAAGCGTTCTGACAAATGCAATTCCAAGCTTCAAAGAACAGCTTTCCTTTCTTGAATCACGCTTGGTTTACGCATCAGGGATTTAAACTAATTGTTTTCTTTAATCTGTACACAATCCGCATTGTATAATATGCTGGGGGATGTCATGAAAAGCCATTTTTCAAATACTGTAGTATATTTGCCTTTCTCTAGAGTTAAAAATGCATTATGCATTTTTATTTTCTGTTCTTACCAGCCCATCGTATTTTATCATCACCGTAACTGGTGCAAAAGTATCACAATCGAAAAAATAAATCGTTTGTGTATACGTTTTTTTGTGTGGTACATTATTTAAAAGAATTGTGTTACATTCAAGTTTTTCAATTCATTCCCGGACAACGGAAAAATCACACTTCATAACGGACGTGTTATAAATCATCTTCTGTAGCATTTTTTCATGATATAGCTAAAATCGAGAAGATTGTAGGACAGTAGTATATTTTTACAACAAAGCATTCTGGACCTGAAAAAAATCACCCTCATCAGTTATCACAAACAAAAAACTAATATACAGTAGTCGAAATGTCGAAGAACTTCGTGATGATATGCGGACCTTGAAAAAAATCGAAGTAAAACCGAAATTCTTGCGACAATATCTGTTGTAATCAGTTTTTACTAAGTAGAATCTTGTTTCAACAAAGGAATTGGAACCTCAAAAACGAAGTAAAAATATTGCGCGAATGAAACATGGACTGGAAAAATCATCGAAAGAATGAATTTGACAAAAACCGTTGCAACTATGCAATCCGGACATCAAAAATGCATTAGTTTCAATGAAAATAAAATATGTACATGAAGTTTAATAAATATTGTACATGAGAAGCAGGGATCGTAAAAAAATCCTCACAGGATGGAATTGTTAAGACGAGGATCCTTACCACGGAATTCCACCATCTGCTGTCACTAGAATAATATTTGTGGGACCCCAACGTACGGAAACCCCGACATACGGACGATTCGACTTAGGAAAACCTGTCAAAAATGCCCACGACATCCGGACGATAAACTCGGACACTTTTCCGACATCGTTGGAAATTTGAATTTTTTTTATAAATTTCCATATTTCTCAAAGAAATTGGACTTTCTACATTCACAAATGCTTAAAATAAATGCATTCATAAAATTACACTAATTCATAATCAAAACAGGCGAAATAATTTGTGGTTCTTTTTTATGAGTCTTTTTCATCACGTGTGCAAAGTTTATCGAGACTTGTTCTTGTTCTTATTTACTTCTTGAGCTCTTTTTGATGCCAAAAGATCGGAGTCGGTGTGGTTTTCTTCTGCGCATTTTTTCTGCACCTTGAAGTTGAGTAAAATTATTTTATTCAATTTGGAGAGGGGGGGTGCTTTTTCCCAATAATTGATCTACAGAGAGAACCAATTGAAAACGTTCCCATTGGAGTCTATGATGGGAAAACGAGGACGCACCGACATATGGACAAACTCCAAGCACCAATTACGTCCGCATCTCGGGGTCCCACGGTACAGTACTGTATTTCAACAGCCATATTTCCTATTGACTGCGAGAGATTCAGAAATGCGAGAAAACAAATAAATTCAAATTTATATTATACCACCCGTGTCAATCTGCTTTGACTAAACCTGGTGTCGCTGCACCCCAAACAAAAAGATGAAAATACATTTTCGGAAAAAAAGAAAAAGAAGGAATCGAGGAAAGAGGCATTTTCGGGAGAGGAAAAAGGAAAAAGAAAAAGAAAGCCAAGCTGTTTGGAAAAGCTGATGATGGAAATGCTGTCATCAGTGAGCGTCTCCCGTTTCCTAGAAAAACACGGCTGCTCATCAGTTTTCCCCCGCAGTGCGTGAAATTGTGGAGGGGAAAAGAGGAAGAGTTTTTTCGAGATAAATCCGCAACGCGACCCGGACGCACGCACTAGGTCTAAATCACTTCCTGACCCTGTTTTTCCTCCGCCGCTACCGAAACGTCTTTCCCCGGTTTCGTTTGTTTTTTAAAATCATTTCTTCTTTTCCTTTCCACCAGCCAGAAAATAAATAACTCCCCTCTCCGTCAATCTCCATTTTTCCTCTTTTTTAAATCTGCATTATTTTAGCGACACAGGAACCCCTATGTCGTACTGCAAGTACCCGAACCTTGGTGAGCATGCAGCAGCGGTACCGGAAATAAATCACACTTTTCCGAGGGCTCGCTTGCCTGTATTTATTTTTCAATTTTTTTTAATAGGGAGCTGAAGTAATTCCAGTGATGGCGATTTAGAATTTGGAATCGATAAGGTATCGCCGATTTAAAACCCGACGATTTGCATGAAATACTCCGCTGTAAATTCAATGCTGGTGCCAGAAATACACACACGTCAGAATTATTTTGAAGGGGTCCCTTTTTCGTATTTATTAATTTTTTTCAATCTCTTCGGAGCTGAAGTAATCCAAGTTTTACTCGTTTCCGAATTGTAATTTCGCAGGTATTTTCAATTTAAGCTCGACGTTTCGTACAAATACTGTTTTCCCTCGTAGATTTAACGACGACGGAGAGTAAGCATTGAAAAAGATCGTCTAACCTTTGCTAAAGTGGAACGCTTTCACGAGGGCACTATAACTGTACATAAAATACCCATCATTTGCATTTGCTTGAGTAGCTATGAATGAAAAGTTCATATTATAAAAAAGGGTTGATGACCCGAGGATACATCGTAAATGTGGACCTCGTTCTGCTCACAGAACATACTTTTCTATAGAAGCTCGTGTTTCGTCTTTGAAATGTATCATTTCTCTCTCTCTCTCTCTCAATCTCCATTGAGTTTTCTCGGTAGTAATGGACTCATTTCAATTCGGAGTTACGCGAAATGTTTCCTAAAATTTTTTTCTGTTTGAGGCATTTAATTCTTGGGTAATAATTTCGATTAGTTTTCATCCTAATTTCATGAATAAGTATATGCAGTAATAAAAAATTGATTTCGAGTTCACTTTCTTGACTTTTGTCCACAAGATAACAGTTTTCCAAGCTCAACATGAGCAGCAAAATCCAATGGTTCCGTTATAGTTCCGCTCAACTGGTAATAAAAAAAAAAACTTGAAAGGCTTTTTATTTCAATTTCAAACCAGATCACTTGGAATTGGACACGATACCCATGAATATCCACAATGTCGTGCATCGGTGCAATAATGACAATGAAATTTTGCTTCACGATAAGTTTCACCCAGGCATATATTTGAACCGGAAGCAAAGGGTTCGCAACCTGGAAGACTTGCATCCGGATTCTTCAATTGCGTCCTGACTCGCGTGTATCAAGTTCATTGTAATGCTCATCGCATGGTGACTTGCAGCAACCAAGAAACCCGAGGCGTGTAAACGCTCCTGACACGCTAATAACCGATCCATTGATTAATTTTTATTTATTGTTGAGCAAGTCAAAGAATGATTCAGTCGTCTCAGACTATTTGATACTTGAACCTGGATTGTGTTACAGATACAACACGACAGCCAAACATCTTGTTGAAAGAAATCCAGCGCATTTTTCGAATTGAACTTGTTCTTATTTTCTTTTGGCAAGGATCATAAGATTTAAAATTTTCAAATACGGTATAATTCAACCTTGATAACTCGAACTTCTTCGAGTACCTTCTCATGTCATATTTTTTTCAAGTCACTATCGGAATTCTCTTAGAAACGTACAATGCATCAAAAACCTGCCTATCTCCAAAAATTTCCCCGTCAAACCTCCGCATAACTCCAATTTTTTGGAGACAGGGTTTTTGGCTAGATTTTGTATTGCCACACAAGAGAGAAAAGCAATACAAATTTTACTTGATTCGCTTTGAAAAGGACTGAAAGAATAATTGTGCAAATGGACCTTTGCCTCTAAGCTCAGCATCATCTAAACTCATCATTTCAAAAGCTATTTAAGGCCCAAAATATCACCAATTATGATTGGCAGTGATTCTTTTTCCTTTCCCCAAACGCAAACGCTTGGAAAATCAGTTCTCAGAATCTTTAAAAATCAATGGTGAGAATTCAAGTAAGTTAAAGGATTATGAATTGATGAAAAGTTTTTCCGCAGCAAAATGCGATACAAAATATATTTTCTCGTCATAAAATGTTTCAAGTCCTTCCGATAATTTAGAGTTTATCCTAGAAATCCGATTCCCTTGAGAAAACATTCAAGACACATTCGAGTAGGGGTATTTTTCGAAAACAGCGAAGAAATTCTGCAGGAAATTTTTCAGAGCGCCTGCATTTTCTTAACTTTTTCTTCTTTTTTTTTGCATTCCACGTTTCCATCAGTCAATTTAAAAATAAAATAAATCTGAAGCGTGCGTTTGGAATCTCAAAAAATATACGAAAGCTCTTTTCCATCACGGATAATTATCCACACATCAAACAGCCTAGCGAACAACACTGCATTCTTTTGATGCACGAGGCCCCCCTAGTTTCGCACGTCGTCAATTTTGCACGCCGTTTTCAACACCAGCAACGAGCGACCGTTAGTTTTTCGCTGATGGCGGGGAGGAAGAAAAGGCGCTTCTGCTCGGGACATGAAAGCAAACATGGAAGATGAAGCGTACGCGAAACACGGAACATACTTTTTTGTGGTGGAAATCCGAGCAGGAAATCTTTACGAATGAAGGAAAAATAAGTTAATGGAGAATTTATGAATAAAACTTTGCTTTTTTCTAAAGAACGTCAAAACGTACCGGAATTTCCCCGAGATTTAGCGTCTGTGTGGTGACTTCCTCTAAAAATAGCATTCTGTTTTTTTTTTTTTACTTCGGAGAACTGTCTTATTGCTTCAAGATTTTCTGTAATTCAATCTGAGGATCCATCACCATTATAAAAAAACACCACAGACGCTTGCTTTCATACGAATTAAAATCCATGAGTAATTTTTCAATGGTTCAGGAAAATAATTTTAATAAAACGGTACGCAATGAACCAATTCACAAGAAAAATACAGAGAAGAAGTTTTATACGCATTTTGAACCCACTCATGCACCAAGAAACACCATCAAATCGTGCAAAAAAACAGAAAAATATTCGATGACGCTGAGAAACATTTAATGTACTTTCAAAAGATCGAAAAAGGTGATATCAAATACACTTGCAATGATCGTGAAACGTTCACATAATCCGTATGACGACCAAAACTAAAATCCTACAAAACTAAAATCGTCTAGCATTGATATTTGAATTCCCTTTTGAACGAAGAGCAATCCGAGTAAGTAAGTCTTCGTCGAAAATAACCTTGGATTGATTGGGATTCCTCCAAAAAGGTTATATATAAGAGAAAATGCCATTAAAATTTTACCAAAAACCGAGCCAGTTCTACGAATTCGCTTGATTATTTCCTCTAAAAAAAATTAACTGGGGATCCAATTCCGGTTAGCCGTACTTCCACGAGGAAAGAATAAAAAAAATCATGAATTACGTTCGGGGTTTTTTTTTCAGAAAATTTTTGACGGGATACAGTTTTTTAACTGATCCCCCGAGTCTGAGAAAGTGTAAATCACTTGTCAAACGGATCCCATCCACAAAAAAAATTGGAAAGTTGGAAAAAAATCAAGCATGGTCAAATTGAAGGGAATCAGACAATTGACGTGGAGACCTACGATTTTTATTAGATTTAATTTTTAAATTACGGCTCAATGAAAACATTTCTGGGGCACATTCAACAACTGGGTATTATATAATGAGAAATACAATTGTCTGATCAGATATCTAATGATGTGTGGCTAAAGAAAATACCCGCTATAATTAATATAGGGCTCGTTTTGAGAGTAGGACTTATTTATATAGCGTAGTGCGATCAAAGTGCAAGGGTTTTATTCACCAATTTGACCTTATTTTTTTAGGGGGGAATAAACCACCATCATAGTCTTCTGATCACGGAAATTAATCAGTACATAGTCTACAGGGAAATATGTTACCTACAATTGTTCATATAGGGCTTGTTTCCAAGGTATGGTTCAACATTTTTCAGAGGGTTCACAATATTCAAAGCAAGAGTATGAAAACAGTACTGCAGCTCATTGAATGACTGGGTCTTATATCCGCGTCACGGCAGTTCTAAAGAAAACTCAACTTTTCATCGCAGGCTTATTTCGTCTTCGTGACAAATATATATATGATAAATTGTCAAGAGAAAAAAGTAGCGATACTCACAGCCAAGACGGTTCTCCCAGGTCAGGAACAGAGTCAGCATTAGCAGCAGAAACAGCCAGGACCACAAGGAAGCAGACGACAATGTTGGAGCGAGCCGAGAGAAAATAAACACGCTCGGTGCTCGACGTCATCGTTGCGCACAATTATGGAAACGAAACTTATTCTGGGTTCCCTTTTTTTTCCTTCTTTTTTTTTCCTGGTAAATATAGTGTTCCAACTTGTGTCAAGAGAAAAAAAAAAGAGAGAGACAATTTTCTCTTTCACTTTTCACAGCGGTGTTTTCAATTTTTTGGAGGGGGGGATCTTCGCACTCTTGAAAATAACTTCGCCCGAGAATCGCGAAAGAAATTCACTCCACTGCACTCTTCTTGGTGGATGATTGGATTCAGTCAAGAATCGAAAGTGTTTTTCTCTTGCCAGCACATCTTTCTCTCATCAGCAGATAACTGCACAATCCCGAGATTCCTGGAAAAACAAATGCAGTAATTTCTCTTCAAAGAAACTCCAAAACGCAATGACAAAAAGAGAGCGATCAATTTCAGGAAATCGCTTGTCTGAACCGAAATGAAGAAACTTGAGTGAGAATGCAATGCCATCGATTTTTTCGTTCCTGAAATTCACAATCAGAAATTAAAGGCGCGTAAATAAAGCATAATAATTTTGTCTGAGTGTTTCTTGGAAATGCCTTGAATGAAGCTCTCCATCCGTTATTTTGAAAGATTTTTCAGTGGCTTCTATCACGTTTGTTTAAATTTCTATCAAGATTTTGACTTGCCTTCGAGAGGTGCTGAAAGTTCCAGAAAAATCCATCAGAGTTGGGACATTTCGGACCATCACTTTTTGTTTTACTTCGGCCTCGCAGAACGTGAACTCGTATTGAATTCCTCAGTCTTCAAGATATTAATACTTTTCTTTCCTCATCCCATCAGAGAGATCTTCACATTTTTGTGGAAAACGTCGGACTATTCCGAAAATTTTTGAAGTTTGGTCTGATTCGAAGTGAAGGTGTCAAACGTAGCATGAAGACATGTTGAAATTTGAACCCTAAAAAATATTACTATTTCAATGCGCGCACAAATTAAATGAAAAATCCCCATCATTACTCGAAAGATGATATATAATGAGCTTTTCTTAATGCTTCAATCAAGTTTTTACATTTTAAAGCGCAAATTCGATTCACTCACTCTATTTCTGTCCACCATTTTATACATACATATGCACTTCTTTGATATACAGTGGCATCAATTGCATTCTATCGGTTTTCGGCAAGAATCTCGAGTCAGCTTTTTTTAAAGAATTTCCCATAATTCAAAAAGTTTAGAGAAAGTATCAAGCCAAAGCATGAAACCTACATCAGGGTATAGGAAACTGATCGAATCGCATAACGGTGTTGTCTGAAGAGTTCGTTTCGTTCCTGTTTCGCTCTACTTTTTCAAAACCCAATCTGAGATCACATGCAGAATTTATTCGGTATAATTGACCGAGTCCGTGACGATTCTTGACAATTTCTAATTTTTTTTTAACTGCGCTGCGAATGAGTTGACGACTTCCGTCCCAAAGTGTCACGTGTTGGAACCGTATGGAAAGGATTTAGTCTCGGATATCTTTTGTATGTTCGATGGGAGAATCTCAGGGTACAGAAATGTCTTACAAAACAAAAACTCAGATGAAAATGAAACGCTTGCTCAAGGTTATCAGCAGAAGTAGGTCATCCAACGAGAAATATCGTTTTCTTTATTTTGAAAAAGGGGGGTTTCTTCCCAAAAAAACAAGCGTTCCGGTGATCCTCAAAAAGAGACAGTACTGTTTCTAAAAATCTAGGCTAAGCCTCATTGGTTTCACTTGTCCAGTACACGAACGAAAATTTTAAAAAAAATTGAAACTTTGTGAGGTAGGATTTGGACTGGAAAATGAATTGAAGGCTGTAGATTTAAAATGAAATATTTTTGCGTGGAATCTTCAAGGTACATGGGTGAAGACTGATGAAGAGCAAGTACAAAACTTGAAAAAGGAGTGCATTGATTTTTGATAGATCGGGTGAATGGAAGGAACATTTTCTCAATGTCACATCTGAATATAGGGATCACAATGCCGTGTACTCAGCTTACAATATTGCGCTTTAAGAAAAATGCTTCTCCATTATGCACGTTATTAGATTTTTCAGAAAAAAATTCACTGGCAACTAAATTTACACCGTGTTCTGCAATATCTGCCACGAGATCTCGGCAAGATCGATGAATAATTTTATGGCGACCGGCTGAATTGATACTTTAACAGAATAAATAAACTAATGGTGAAGTGTCTGCGTCATCAAATTCATCATTCTATGAAAAACAAGAAGAGTTGGTAAAACCCTATTTTTACCTTTTTCCAGTTTAAAAAGGTTCCAAGGTTGAATATTTCAAGGAAGATGGTACAGTATAATAAAAAGGATGCTTAGTCTCCCTCATTTAAAATTCAATTTTTTTGCATGTACACAATGAGGATGGGTGACTGAAAAATTCTCAGATCCAATGGGAAGATTTTTTTTTGCATGAAAAAATTTAGGACATGCTCTGAATGATAATCATGTCACCACTCTGATATGTGTCGCGAATTTTATTAGTTATATTTTTAGCAAGTCAGTTTGAGAACCCGAATTCTCATCCTTTGAAACAAAATCTACTTTCTGTGAGAACCTTGGAAGACCTTGGTTCTCACATTGCTTACTGAAGCCTTCAAGGCTACATTTCTCCACAAATCCTGTTGCTAATTCTTCTCCTTGAAGGACTGCTTTCCTGTTTCGAGAAACCACAAGATTGAGTACAGTTTGTCTCAAGCATTCGTGTGTGCAACTTCTCCGAGATTTTGCAAGTTTTCAGTGACAATCAATCATTTTCTACAAATATACCAACTTGGAATAGGGTGAACTCACCCCAGTCGCAGCCCAACCAAATCATTGCGTTTCATTTTTCAAATCAACTCTTTTCAGACATTCCAAAGCCTCTCAGAATTTAAAATCTTCATTTGTTGGGATTTATTCCTGACAATATGTGTGCAAAATTCATCAACATTTATTAGATCTCTTTCCAAGTTTTCAGTGTCTGTCTGTTTTCACCAGAAACCCGGCTAACTGTCAAGACTGGACAAAAATAGTGAGGAAGAAATAATTGCACAACATGAGACCTTGTCTCAAAATTTCAGGCCATATTAAACTGCAGGTATATACGCATTACAAAATTTTCCTTAGTCACTCGCAACAGGCAAAGTTCATTTATTCGGTGGTCAGGTTTCGAAACCTTTTTGTCTTACAGTATATACACGTACGTTCGTCCGCAATATTATAAATATGATGGAGTCTCATATCCACATTAAAAAGCCTCTCATACCCAAGTTTCGACAACTCTCTGTCAAAAGGACAAAGCACTGTATTAGTTTCCCTAATCTTTTTGGGCCCACGAGATCGGAAATTCCCAAAAAGATTTCTGCGGACCGGCAAAGTTTCATAAACTTGTTGCAGACTCAAAAACATTATTTGAAAGACAGTATTCAGAGATTTTCTGTTTTTTTTTTCAAAAATCAAGTTAAGAACCAAAAATGAAGCAGCTTTAGTGGACTGTATTTTTATAAAAATTATAAAAGTGGGCTTGAGGACAATTTTCCCAGAATGAATAACTTATTTCAGCACGTGAAAATTTGTCTCAAGCATTATTGAGGGAAAAGCCTTTATAATAATTTTCCATCAGATCATTTCAACTGTCTTCAAAATATTGGCTAAAGATAACAGACTTCATTGGTACTTTTGATAAATTTAATACACCGAAGAGAATTTCCCGCGGACAGGCAAAAAACCCTTCCATGGACCAGCGCTGGTCCGCGGACCACGGGTTGGGGAACACTGCACTGCACTTTACTGCCGTTACCTTTCTGTTTTTTTTTTTTTCTGTCAAGGCAGAAGAATCATGACCCCTAACAGGAGAACGTGCCTCAAATATTTGATCATCCCCTGGACTCAGTCTGCTCTAAAATTAACACCCGCCGGGTGGCTGGTCTTCAGCATCCATCATCCTCAAGCCCCTTCATTCCGGCTGAAACCCGGGAACAAATAGCAGGGAATGAATGGCAAAGACAGAGATGATTGCGTGGCTCGTACAGTATTTTGAAAGTCGTTCAATTAGTTTCGAGAATCTAATGGTTTCCGACGCCGAAGTGTATTTGATGTACAGTACAGTACAGTACTGTACTGTATAGTACAGTACAATAATGCAAAACGTACTTGAGCAACGGGGAGGAAAAATGCGCACGACAATGGCATCATTAAGCAGGGACTTGAAAATATATTGCGGAATCGCCGGCGCTCTTCGATTTCGGTTTTGCAATATTTCTGCGCGATATTTATGCAGCGAGAGAAGAATTCCACGTCTTTCTCTTCTTTATATCGTTCTTTTCACAACTCAGCTTGCATATACTGTACCAAAACGGGGGGAAAGTGCAGAATAAAATCCTCGAAAACAGAATTGGTAATCAGAAATAACCGCGGATTCTTGCAGGACGGAAAAAGCACTCTTCCTTTTAATTGCGAATAAAGCATTTACTCCTCAACAGAAGCGTATGCAAGCAAAGCTTTGATAGCACGTGCTTGTGGTCTTGGGGGAAAGTAAAGTAAACTCGGAAAAGCATTCAAAAAAACATTCGAATATCGACAAGTTGATTTGAATTACGTTTAAAGAAAGGAACTCGTACGCTGGAAAATGAACCTCAAAAACCTTTCAGGATGAAACGCAAACGGCACTTAAATTGACCCAATAACAATCTCTGATGAAAGCAAAAATGTTCCCAGAAAAGAGCCAACACCGATTTCACAAAAACTTATCCTAAAATGCTGCCACTCTCAACGGCGCAAAAAAATTGTGCAAGAAAAAGACTAATTTTTTGCTTGCTTTTTTTACGCGAGAAAAAAAATCACCAATACAAATCTTGCCTTTTCGAGATATTTTGCAGGAGACGTGAACAAACATTTCCTCCACCAGAAAATATTGCAATTATATGATTTTTAAAAGCCCTTGCAACGTGTTGAACTCACAAAGAACGCCAGGATCAAGACACTCGGAAAACATACACGAGTACTTGGCCCAAAATCTTGAATAACTTTTCAAATATCTTTCGAAAAAAAATGAAAAAGTGGATTCGGGTTGAACCGAAAAAGACACCCAAAGCTTTTGACATATTTATAAATTCATATTTTTTCCACGAAATAATAGATTATCAGACATTTGATTTTACATTGGAGCAAGGATGCCTCATTTAGTCATTTATACTACATATATATTTACCTTCCATTTAAATGAAAATCCCGCTTTCCTGGAGTTTGTTTTCCAGGCATAAAAAGTTTAATGTATATTTTGGAACATATTTTCTGCAATTAGTGATTTTCTACCGCCACAGAGAAATAATTTTCATTCCAGGAATACATGAACTCACAAGTCAATCGAAAACCCCCGAAGAGTTGAACTTTCAGTTGAGCCCAAATTCAGCTTTCATGCTGGATTTCTAAAAATAAATATCTGACACAGAGAAATAATTTTCATTCCAGGAATACATGAACTCACAAGTCAATCGAAAACCCCCGAAGAGTTGAACTTTCAGTTGAGCCCAAATTCAGCTTTCATGCTGGATTTCTAAAAATAAATATCTGCGCAAAATTATGCGGCAGTAGACATTTTCGAAAATATTATATGACCTCATATAATTTGAATTTCACCTTCATTCTCAAACGCAAATTGAACTTTTCATGAGTCAGTTTATAGGATATAAATGTTTTATGTATATTTTGGCACCGATTTTTTTTTATCGAAAATATTATATGACCTCATATAATTTGAATTTCACCTTCATTCTCAAACGCAAATTGAACTTTTCATGAGTCAGTTTATAGGATATAAATGTTTTATGTATATTTTGGCACCGATTTTTTTTTTTGTGTTCGGCAAGTTACCACGGCCACAAGGATACTCTCAATGTATCGTAGATACAGTATCAAAATAAATTCGCTTATCTTTCAAGCCCCAAATAATTGAACCTTCACGTGAGCTAAAATTTGGATTTCTTTGCTTGAGAATAACCCCAATAAGCCAGATTTTTTTTGTGCATGATTGCTGATGAATGTGGAGGTGATTCCTATAAATTCACGATTTAATATTAAAAACTGACACCCTCAGCAGGTTCCCTCATTGCTGCTTCACTTCTTTCGGCTTCGAACCAATATTCAGTTCCCGGTGTACAAATACACCATCAAACAATAGTTTAAAATTTCACTTCTCAAAGAAACATCAGGATAAAAATTCCCTTGTCACCACAAGTAAATCAAATCGCACATCGAACACCGTTCGTAGCAAAAACCGCTAAACAAAACAAAATCGCGAAGGAAAAAAATTACGGTACGGAGGGATAACAATTCGTGCCGTGTAGCGTGGCTGCGAATCACCGACTGGTGAGTAAGTGCTTTCCGCCTGGCTGTGAAACACGGAATTGCTGCTGCTGGACCCTCCCGAATCCAGCGCAGCGACCTGCGCATTCCCTGCACTCGTGTGGGGGCTGCGGAATGAACGCGCTGTGCGGGCCTCAACGTACGAATTACGTTACTTCAAGCGACATCTAGAAAAATTAATAATGGTCTTTCTATTTTTTCATTCAATTTTGACACAGGTGTCGCTAGAAGAGTCTAAACGACTTGTGGTACATACGCTACAGGGAACGACATGCATGCTTCTGGTTCATTCAACTTCGACTCGACTTGATCATGAGGCTCTCTCTCTGTATTCATTTTTATTGATCTCCCGCTTTCTTTCTCGTAACTTGTCACACGAAATGCTTGCCAAAATCGTCACTGTTACGATGAGCCCAATAATTTCAGGAAGATTCGGAAGCCGGAACTGCCTGAAATTCCCTAGAAAAAAAAGTGCTGCCGAACAAGCAATAATCCAAATTTTTTTTATAAGACGTAGGTTGTCCGACGTGGGCGCGACCTTTCACCTTGGTTACAATATTTCTAAAAAATAAAGTATGGCTGTAAAACATATATATTATGAATTTATGCCCATGATGTAAGATTCTGGTATTTTTTCGGATTTTTAGAATAATTATTTCAATTTTCTGCATGATGATAAGGGAAAACTGTCCAGTCATGGCCAGAGTTCTCCAACCATATCACAGGGTACTAAAAATTTGTCAGGCCAGCTGAAAATTGAAATTGTGTAGAAAATGTAGAAAACGTAAATGGTTGAAATGAAACAACATTTAAATTTTTTTTAGCTGGCCTGACAATTTTTAAGCACCCTGTGCCATGGCAAAATAGGTGAAGAACTCTGGTCTTTACTAGAAAGATTTTACTTATCATCATTCAGGAAACTGAAATTTTTTTAAATCCGGAAAAATCCCAGAACCTTACAACATCGTGGGCTAGATCATTACATTTTTTTCAGTCATACTAGAAAATTAGAAATAACCATGGTCGTATACTAGTGGGACAACCCTCGTAGATAAGAAATGTCCAAGAAATGTATTTCAATTCCGGTGGTTGCATATTTTATTCCACGAGACTCATTGAACAAACATTTCTTCCCGTAATCTGCGCAGTTCCCTCCACGATTGACGCCGGTGCAAGTGTCACTCCCGGTAGAATTTGCAAACCGACCCTCGTCGTCGCACTATCGGCAAAAATCCCGAATTTCGGCATACAGGAACTCAGCTTGCTAAATAAGTTGGCGCCGCACGAAAAAAAAAAAAAAGGCCGTAAGACAAATACGAAAAATGACTGAGAAAAAGGCCGATCCGAAAAATACTTCTTGTGCATGGGTTAGTTCGCAAAGTTTTTGGTTTATTGCTGCTGGAAAAAAAATTCGAGGATTTTTGTATTCTCAAGAAATCTTTCGATCCCGAAATTTGATAAATTACCGTCATTTGAGCGCTGTTATTTGATGTTCTTTTTTATTAGATTGATAAAATTTCCAGACTCAAAAATTTATTGAACTGTAATAACAAAAGCAAAAACGGACTTCGACGAAAAAATTATTTTATTTTTCAAGAAAATCAATCATAATGTCTTAAAAACTTGGATCATCCCGGCAACTTCAATTCTCAACTTTCTGAAATTCACTACAGTACTTTTTCAAGCATTCATTAAGGGAGTATTTCGAATTTGCATGACGACTCAAAGCAAAGTTAAACCGCGAAATTCTTTAAAATAAGTCCTTTAGTCAATGGAAATTCCGTTATGCAAATTATTTTCGTTGTGCGCTTTTATTTTATTTTTTACAAATTTAGATAAATTTGAAAAGTTACATACTTAATTCACGCACATTTTGTAAATCGGAGACCCGCTGTTTACATCAGGTAAATCAATACAATTCGTTTCTCCAAATACTGCAATAATGCTTCATACGGTCCATTTATTCCAAGATTGAAAACAACGGAATAAAGCACATTAAGGCGGACATAACTTTTGAAATTAAGCACCTCACGCAACCTGAAGTATTGGTCGGTCAGAACAGTTTCTCAACCGAATTTTAAATAAAACAGCACTGAATATTCAATTGCTCCTCTTCTTCATGATAATGCACAAGGAGCAGTGACGATTTTGGCAAGCATTTCGTGTGACAAGTTACGAGAAAGAAAGCGGGAGATCAATAAAAATGAATAGAGAGAGAGAGACGAGGAAGTAAAAGATAATAAATATTTTGCGGAGAAAAAGGGGGGGCGGAAAAGGGTGAGGAGGGAAATTCCGGGAGGGTCGCCGACGATAGAAGCCGCGGCGGCGGCGGTGGCGGCAAACAAACCATGTCGAAGTCGAGTATCGTCATCGCTGCACTGATCTTAGTCCTGTCCACATCTTCTTTTGTGCAAGCGCGATACAAGTTTGAAGACAACGTGCTCATCCTGACAGAGGCGGAATTTGATCACGCCACACGCGATTTCCATCGTCTCCTCGTACTTTTCCGTACGTCTTTTTTTTCTCTTGAGAAATGCCGCAGTATTTTTTTAATTGCATGCATGGAAAAGTGAAAACAAAATTTTGAGTGTTATTGAGTGCATATCACACAGTTGTTACATAAAAATCAGAACACTAAAAATCATGAGATGAGCCTCTCCTGTGCTGGTGTGAACCTCTGTAAGTCGCATTTCTAGGTACCAGGAAAAAAATTCGACTTAGGGAGCTTTCGACTTAGGGAGGTTTTGATTTTTGCAGGTTTTGAATTAGGGAAAAATAATTCTTGCAGTGAGGATTAGTAAAAAAAAGGCAGGAAATAGTAAATGAAGAGATTCTAGGCCTAAACTTGCCTCTTTATGAGTTTTTACTGTGCTGTACTTGGAGGCAGGGGTTCATTTGCTATATTTTTCTTTCAATTCCTTCCAAGATGCATCAAATTATTGTATTTGTTTTAATTATTTTCTCTCTCATATTTCACAGAAATAATAACCAGAAGGCCTCAGAAAAATCGACTTACAGAGGTTTTAGAAAAAAAGAATTCGAGTTAGGGAGGTTTTTAATATATTGATTTTAAGGGAATTTGGACAGGGACTTGAAAAAAATTCGACTTAAGGAGGAATTCGACTTATCGAGGTTCACTGTATATGTATATAGGTTCTTTTATTCTTGATACAGAAGAAGAAGAAGAGCGAGAATTCTACCGTAGTTCATGCGAGTACTCAAGTATTTTCACGAAGCATCCTTTAAATGCTTTCAAATTTACGATTTTTCAGAGTACATTAAAAAAAGAATTCGAGTTAGGGAGGTTTTTAATATATTGATTTTAAGGGAATTTGGACAGGGACTTGAAAAAAATTCGACTTAAGGAGGAATTCGACTTATCGAGGTTCACTGTATATGTATATAGGTGCTGAAGACACTGTTCTTTTATTCTTGATACAGAAGAAGAAGAAGAGCGAGAATTCTACCGTAGTTCATGCGAGTACTCAAGTATTTTCACGAAGCATCCTTTAAATGCTTTCAAATTTACGATTTTTCAGAGTACATTATCTCGAATATAATGTAATGATTTTTTCATTGTGTCTGTCGCAACCCATGGCTCCTTGTGCATTATCATGATGAAGAGGAGCAATTGAATATTCAGTGCTGTTTTATTTAAAATTCGGTTGAGAAACTGTTCTGACCGACCAATACTTCAGGTTGCGTGAGGTGCTTAATTTCAAAAAGCTCCTTGTGCATTATCATGAAGAAGAGGAGCAATTGAATATTCAGTGCTGTTTTATTTAAAATTCGGTTGAGAAACTGTTCTGACCGACCAATACTTCAGGTTGCGTGAGGTGCTTAATTTCAAAATTTTCTAAAAATTTGTTTGCTGAGATGGTGAGGAGAAAGAAAATTTCTTTAGGAAAAATTAGTAAAATTCACATTTTGATTCGTGAAAGCAGGAAAAAAGTCGAACTCATAATCGTCCAAAAAAGATCCCAAAATGCGATGAATTCCACTAATGAAAACTGGCAGCACACAGAGAAAAATCAAATTCAAGCCCAGGAATCTGAAAAATGAAAGCATGTATCGTAATTTATTTTTAGCATTGCAGAATACCTCATTTAAGTACATTACTTTGAATGAAAAGTCTAATTTTTGAATGAAAAAAATGACAAGAGTTTGAAAATATATCCACAGGCTTACGAAAAAAAAAACCGCAAACGAAGGAAAATCACCAAATTGAGCCCAACTGGAATTTCGACCGAACGCAATCCATGTAATTTTTCCATGTTAGCTTTGAATATATTGAAAAAATAAATCATTTTTGCTCTAGTTGAACTTGCGTTAAATATCTACTTGAACAAATGCGACTTTTTTGCCTACTCTGGCCTTTAAAGAAGATTGCAAAAACCAGCACATCGCATGTCTAAAAGATTTATAAAAATCTCTTGTAATTTCTGAATTTTCCATTGAGATTTTTCTTCTTCTGGTCTGAATACCTGTATAAAACCTATCCTATTGATAATGAGAAATTTGACACTTGAAAAATACGCGCAGTGATTCTTCTTTTGAAATGACACAAGAATCGGCTTCAGTTAGGATTTCGAAGGAATCCTATGCATTGAACTTGATTCATTCATAACGTTTCACTGTTGACATCAATTTTCAAGAAAAAGACTGATGACCCAACTCATCAGTGTAGCCAAAGACGAACAGACATCAGCTTGAAGGCCTCGCTATTTTTCACACATAACATATATGACTAGACTGATCGGAAGTATAAATCATATGACTCCCCTTAAGAATAATAAAAAAAACTAGTCCTTTCGATAAAAATTATTTCCATCAGCAAACTGGAGGATATTTTTTCGTTTTCTCTTTGGAAATCAGTCCCCCCGCCCATCAGGCGAGACTCGTTTTTGCAAGAGGAAAACAGACATTTTCGCCTACGTACGTGTGTTTTGGCAACAAATGAGCCCTTGTCCCACTTCGGAAAATATTATTATGAGACCAGTTTTATCTTCAGGGAAACAATTGGGACTGTTAAAAAAAATAGTAACTAGCCAGTTTGAAATGTCTCACCACTGTGGCATCTTTTCTTTCATTTACCCTTTTGCGGTATCCACATTGTGAGGAATTCTGCTGCATTTATTGAGTGCAATAGTTCGGAATATTGTATAAATGAAAATCACATATTTCGATCCCATTTTTTGAGGAGTTCCGTGCATACGCATCTTAGTTCCTCAATTCTTTATCCTGGCCATTTATTGACACAAAAGAAGAAATGAGGAGTGAATAAGTTTAGAAGGAATGTTCATGACGTAATCAGGGATTATTAAAACATTAATAAAACCTCCTCGGATTTTATTTGCGCCCAATTCCAAAGAGCTTGTGAAGAAAATTCCAAAAAACTTGAACACATGATAAAAACCGAGTTTTCTGCTAAAAATAAAAAAGTGCGCCACATTTTTTTTTTGCCGTTCCAGACCCACAGCAGCAAATAATGATTAACCGAATGTTGAGAGTCGACCAGCATCATAATAACATCGCTAATTTTACTGCTAAAAATCAAATTGCAGTATCCAGTACAGTATTTTCCTGTGATGCTGTTCGTTTGTCATCAGTCGTATACATTGGTCGACTGCATGAATATCAAAGATTTTGGGTGATTTGTTTTTGAATGGGCTGCTTATACAGTATCCATGTAGATAACATTGAAAAAAAATTTTCTTAGCTTACTCGGATACTGTGCTGCTTCGTCAGTTAGTTCTCACACGCGTGTACAAAATTGCCTGCAAAAAAAAAATAAAGCGAAGGAAAACTCGGTTCTTCCGCTGTTGTGTAAGCGAAAAATCCCGAGACACATTCCTTTATTCAAACAGTGCGTGATGTTGACGGAAAGGGACGATGAAAACTGTTTTTACAAAACACATTTTTTTTAATTTATTTAAAAGAAGATTTCCTGATTATTAGCTCGGAAGTATTTGTTGATCGTTGCGGATGTGATCTATACAGATGCACCATGGTGTGGAATATGCAGAGGGTTCATGAAAGATTACCGAAAAGCTGCGACGTTGTTGAGGCACGAAGGCAGTGACATCGTTCTCGCAACTGTCAATGGACACGTGGAGAAGTCCTTGACCAGACGATTCAAGCTTCCGGGATTCCCAGTCGTGAAGTACTATAAAAACGGACTTCCACACAAGTACACAGGTATATACGTCGAGAAGCATGAATGTACATCTCGTGTGTGGAATTTCAAAAAAAAAATGTCCATCTGAGACTATCCACATTTTTTTCAGAAAAAGATGACTAAAAATAGAAACTGGAACACATTTTTCTGCTGAAATCTTTCCGGGTACTGAAAATGCTGATCCAAATAACCCTGTCATACTTCAAGCAAACCTTCTATTACATCTCGTCGACGATAAATTAAAAAAAAAATTCCACCAGGGATTCCTCGAAAATATTTATTAAAACTAGATTCCTAGAACAAAATTCTGCATTTTTTTCTGCATTCAGTGATTATAGTCTCTTCAAATTCACGGTTTTTTTCTCTGGCAATGTAAGAAAAAAAGTGAAAAGCAAATAGCTAAGTCTCCCACCGAATACACTGAACAAATTTTCACACCACTAGCAAATACGTTTTCTGAGTGAACCCAGAATGCTACACCAGCTTTTCTCATCAAAATAATCTGCGATTTTCTTTTGAGTGATATTTTTAAAAAAGGTCACTAAGAATAAATAAGTTTCCCGAGTAAACATAAAATAATACACCAGTTGTTCCCATCGAAATCATCTGTGATTTTCTTTCGACTAACATTTTGTTTGATAATTCTGCGTGTAGAAAGTTTTCCTTTAAAACTTTGCTGAAGTGCTCTCTCCGCACTTCAGAGAAAAGAATAATTAAAACTGGGCAAAATGTTCATTAATTCTGCGGATTTTGAGGGAAGGAATTGAAAAACCATGCTGAAAATTCATTCATAAATCTAAAATCTGGTTTTAAAAAGGTTTTATAAAGAGTTTAATTCATGGTTCTTCAGTCAAAAGTCTCAAAACCTACAAAAAGATGTTTTATAATGAATTATATACGTTATCAACAAAATGTCAGCTTTCAACTACGGTTTTCTGATTCAAATGAAGTACAGTATACGTGCGTTAAAATATTTGATCTCAAATTTCTGGTCTGTATTTCTATTTCACGTATACCTGATCTTTCGCTACCGGTTTTCAATTCAAGAATTCGATTTGAAATTACCGTATATACAGTGTTTCATTCTAAATATATTTGATCAATCTTGAAGTGCGTAATTCTCACGTCGAGTAAAAAGAGGAAAATGGAGTTGTCTCAATTTAACAATGATTGTTTTACATGGATCCTAGATATGAAAGAGCTAATGCGGTCTTTTGAAAGATGATAGAGCTAAATTTCCTTACAATTATTGAGAAGTTTCGATCGAAAAAGTCGACCGCATCTTATTCTTGATTTATTTCAAGAGCAAACTTGAGTAATTTCCAAATTCGGAAGCCTGCAATAATACCGAGAAAAACTTCCTCTACTCATTTTGGATTTACAATCTTATGAATATTAAAAGTTTAAAAAACGATGTTATTCAGAAGTTCCTCAATGACATGATTTACTCATCAAGACATCATTATTCGCCGATAAAATGTTGATGTCATGTCAAAAAATTTATAAAAATCGTGGTTCCGTCCCAGATGACATCTAAGCACAAACAAAATCATCACTGATTGCAGCTTTATAAATCGTTTAAATTTTCAAATGCTGAAATTAAAATTACATTTATACAAGTCACTTCGTATACTTTTGATGGATCAACAGCAATTTGCGCAATTGCGTCTCGATCAAGGCCTGCCTATGCGGTTTTTTAGCTCAAGTTCCTTCATATTTGAAACATAAAACCGCATTTAGTTGAAATCGTGTTTGCAAGCAAAAGTTTTTTCTCTTGAGGGTTGCTTTTATTGATTAATAGCCACAGAAGAACGACAATGATCCATGCATCCGGATCATTCAATTTTCTTTCAATGCAGGGGGACGAGGAGCGAAAAATCTCGTCATGTGGCTCAAGTCACAATGATAAACAGGAATGCGAAAGCCTGAATTCGACATGGATATACGTGGATTAGATCAACACCGTCTTCAATGCTGGGAAAATAATGCCGAGGATTCAATACATGGTCAATACAATTCAAGAAGAGTTTCTATATAGACCGAAAATAATTCAATGCAGATGCGTATGTCGGCTGCTGATGCAGGAGATCGTTTGACTTGTTCGGATTCGGGAAAGGAGCAGAAACGAAAGCTCTGATCTTCGAAAACAAACAGCGAGACGCATCCGGTTTTTTCCGTGTGTTTGAGCTAAAATCCTGAAATCCGACTTTCGGGTCCCACCTCTTTTTTTTTTCCTTCTTTTCTCCGAATATCGATCATCCGAAAAGACTCGAGTTAACCCTTCTCAGGGCAGTGGGACCAAGTCGCAAAGGGGGAAAACTCGTTCACCCTTTTTTTCGCTGTTTCCTCAATAATGGAGTTTTCGGTCAAATTTGCGTTGTTCGCCGTTTTCGCGAGCTCATTTCTCCAACCCGAGCCGTGCAGACGTCAATTTTTTGTTCCCTTCAACGACTAAGAGTGCCTAGTCCTAAAGCTAGAACATTGGTTTATGATGTGAGTGCAGGAGCAGTGGAAGGCACTCAAACTTCTATTATTATGACATAGTTGTGTAGCGTATATATGAACCCTATACCGAAGCCTTTTCCGTGATGCTTTATAAACACAATTGCGCCAAAGACGAATTATGCATAAAACTCGGATTAAACCTATAAGGAAAACGCGGTTGTTCTGTTGTTCTGTTTCCGAGTGTGAAACGTTTTCGAAAAATTATTTATTTCAAGCTCCTGTAAATTCAGCAGTTGTCGTCTTTGACGAATCGGAGATGTTTACCCTTTAATAGTTCTCTCATTTTGGAAGTCTGAATGCATATCTGTCCCAAATCCCGAGTCAAGGACAATATTCAGGTGAAAAAAGTACAGTCGGTTAACTCATGTATGTCCAAATGCGTCATCCCTTAAAAATTTCGATTCGTCTTCATCACGTGGGGACATTTTCAAAGAAATAGCTTTACAGAATGACAATTCAGATGTCGTGTATGCATGGATCGAAAAATGTGCCTCACTAGCTCTGACTGCACGAGTTTCAGTATCATTATTTTTCAATCCAAAGCTAATTAGGACTATTTGCGACAACAACAAAGTAAGTTGACCAACTATGTTGAAATGTTTGATCACTCGAAGATTTTTCCATTTCCGCGTAGGGCCATATTATTTCAACATATTTAATAAAAACATGTTTTTCAAGCACCGTGAATTATTCTGCAGCTTCCATCTCTATAAGGTGATTTGAAAACATCGAAAGGATGAGATCCGATTGGCTGAAAAAAATTTTGCAGCAAACAAAATACGAAGAAAACCTTCGTACAAATTTTTAATCCATTCATATGAAACACAACAGAGACCATTGTAAAACTAATTTCAATGCGAGCCATTTTGGTCCAGTGGACATTCTTCAAGGAATTCCTCTTCGTTTTTTATAAATTCTTGTCACTTACAATATTTTAAAAAGCATCCAAAACATTTTCGATCGACGGATGATTTCTGCTTCAATCCGAATTTATACATTTTCAAGACGGATTTTCTAGATTCATCCCTGACGAAAAAAATACTGCAAATTATTTTCAAAAATCAAGAAACAAAATGCTCAAGCTCAAGCCATTAAAGCAATATTTCACCGTTTCTAATTGGGTATTTTTGTCATTAGTCTACGAAAACTTCGTTTGCCGTGGTAATTACTACTGATGATGGAGAATCACGGGAATATCTGCGGAATGTATGCATCACTGAACTGAAACATTTTACAAGAAAATGAAGGTTGTATTCGCAAAATAAAAATATATATCCTGACTTGTGTATCATCGGTTCATCATACTGTACTACTATAGGTCACAAACATTTTTGGACTGCTGCATTTTACAACATGGCAAATTGTTGAAATCATCAAGTAGAGCATTAGCATAAGTAATTCACCAGCTTTAGACCGGCCATGTATCATATTTAGCGAACAGCTCTTCATAGATGAAATCCTACGCGGGAAAGGAACACTCTTTATGTTGAACATATTCTACTTCATAAATAAAAATATAAATTGCATTTGGATCTTCATCCGCCGATTTATTCCCCGCACTGAAAGGAAAAAAAAAAGTTTCCCGCATTGTGAAAAAATACAGATCGTGTGAAGAAAGAATTGCAAATATTTTTATTTTGATCCGTGCACGCAGATGCTTCTTGGTGCGGCGTTTGCGACAAATTCAAGCGTGATTTGAAGGTTGCAGCAGAAAAAATGGCAGTGGATGGAAACAAACGTTTGCGTAAGGTAAAAATAGCCTTGGTCAACGGAGACAGGCAAAAGGGTCTCGTACAACGATTCGGCATTTACGCGTATCCGACAGTCAAATTTTACGCCTACGGGGTACCCATGGATTACAAAGGTGAATCTGCTATACCCCTTCATATTGCCAAAATCACCGGTGCATTTTTTTTCCTACCGTCAACTGACACGAGTGCCAGTTTGATTTGTCATCAACGATGGCCTTTTATAATAATTCGCAGGTATAAGTCTTTTACACGCATAGGTTTTCAACGGTTTAGAACTGTTCCGCTTTCCACATAAGACATGCGGAAGATATCAGGTCATGACGAATGCAGGTCATAAATTTTCTTCCGGTTTAAACGATATTTAATACTGTTCAACGGTTTCAATTTTAGGAAATAGAAGTACATTACAGAAAATTGGCAATTTTCTAGACCCAAACTATTGTATGTTACCACGGTTTCTGAAGAAAACGCCAACGTGGAAAAACGCCGGGAATATGGGGAATAAAAGGTGGATGATATATATTTTACAGAATATATTTTACAGAAATGCCGGGGATATAATTTTTTTGAGGAAGATATCACTTTTAAAGAATGTAGGATAAGTCAAGATTTTGAGAGGAAATGAACTAAATTTGAGTTTCAAAAACAATACCTCAGGAACAGAATAAAAATCGAGTTTTAAAATGGCAGCCCTTCAGCAAAGAGAAACCACATTCAGTTTGTACAAACGATATTAACCCCATATGCTGTAATACAGTATGATAAATAACTCCGTGATATGGAAACGAAGGTACTGCAGTATAGTAATTCGAAAACAAAGAGATGGTGATCAACTAAATTTGACTGATTATAATTTCGTCGATCAACATGCTTGACAACANTGCAGTTAAAAAACAAGGGAAGTTGCTGATTCTCACGGATCAGGATTTCGATCTTGTAACCAAATACTACACTCACGTCCTCGTCACCTTCCGTGAGTTTGAAGATAATAATACTGTATCAACACATACGTATATATGAACCCTATACCGAAGCCTTTTCCGTGATGCTTTATAAACACAATTGCGCCAGAAACGAATTATGCATAAAACTCGGATTAAACCTATAAGGAAAACGCGGCTGTTTTGTTTTTCTGTTTCCGTGTGTGGAACGTTTTCGAAAATTATTTTTTCCAAGCCCTGTAAATTCAGCAGTTGTCGTCTTGGACGAATCGGAGATGTTTTCCATTGATGATTTCTCTCATTTTGGAAGTCTGAATGCATCTGTCCCAAATCCCGAGTTAAGAAGGACAATAATCAGTTGAAAAAAGTACAGTAGGTTAACTCACGTATGTCCAAATGTTTCATCCCTTAAAAATTTCGATTCGTCTTCATCACGTGGGGACATTTTCAAAGAAGTAGCTTTACAGAATGACAATTCAGATGTCGTGTATGCATGGATCGAAAAATGTGTCTCACTAGCTCTGACTGCACGAGTTTCAATCATCCTTTTTCCATCCTAAGCTAATTAGGACGATTTGTGACAACAAAAAAGTAAGTTGACCGACTATGTTGAAATGTTTAATCATTCGAAGATTTTTCCATTTCCGCGTAGGGCCATTCAAAAACATATTTTTCAAGCACCGTGAATTATTCTGCAGCTTCCATCCTTATACGATGATTTGAAAACATTGAAAGGATGAGATCCGATTGGCAGAAAAACAATTTGCAGCAAACAAAATACGTAGAAAACCTTCGTCCAACTTCTTAATCCATTCATATGAAACACAGAGACTATTGTAAAACTATTTTCAATGTGAGCCGTTTTCCTCCACTGGATATTCTTCGAGGAATCCCTCGTCGTTTTTTTTCGATTGTTGTCACTTACAACATTTTAAAAAGCATTCAAAACATTTTTGATCACTTCTGCTTCACTCCGAATTTCTACATTTTCAAGACGGATTTCCTAGATTCCTCCCTAATTTGAAAAAATACTGCAAATTATTTTTAAAAATCAAGAAACAAAATGCTCAAGCTCACGCCATTAAAGCAATATTTCACCGTTTCTAATTGGGTATTTTTGTCATTAGTCTACGAAAACTTCGTTTGCTGTGGTAATTACGACTGATGATGGAAAATCACGGGAATATCTGCGGAATGTATGCATCATTGAACTGAAACATTTTACAAGGAAATGATGGTTGTATTCGCAAAATAAAAATATATATCCTGACCTGTGCATCATCGATTCATCATACTGTAATTAAAGTGTAGGTCACAAACATTTTTGGACTGCTGCATTTTACAACATGGCAAATTGTTGAAATCATCAAGTACAGCATTAACATTAGTAATTCCACCAGCTTTAGACCGACCATGTCTCATATTTAGCGAACAGCTCTTCATAGATGAAATCCTACGCGGGAAAGGAACACTCTTTATGTTGAACATATTCTACTTCATAAATAAAAATATAAAATTGTATTTGGATCTTCATCCGCCGATTTATTCCCCGCACTGAAAGGAAAAAAAAAGTTTCCCGCATTGTGAAAAAATACAGATCGTGTGAAGAAAGAATTGCAAATATTTTTTATTTTGATCCGTGCACGCAGATGCTTCTTGGTGCGGCGTTTGCGACAAATTCAAGCGTGATTTGAAGGTTGCAGCAGAAAAAATGGCAGTGGATGGAAACAAACGTTTGCGTAAGGTAAAAATAGCCTTGGTCAACGGAGACAGGCAAAAGGGTCTCGTACAACGATTCGGCATTTACGCGTATCCAACAGTCAAATTTTACGCATATGGGGTACCCATGGATTACAAAGGTGAATCTGCTATATACCCCTTCATATTGCCAAAATCACCGGTGCATTTTTTTTCCTACCGACAACTGACACGAGTGCCACTTTGATTTGTTATCTACGATGGCCTTTTATAATAATTCGCAGGTATAAGTCTTTTAAACGCAAAGATTTTCAACGGTTTAGAACTGTTCCGCTTTCGTATTAGAAATGCGGAAGATATCAGGTAATGACGAATGCAGGTCATAAATTTGCTTCCGGGTTTAAGCAATATTTTATAATGTTCAACGGTTTCAATTTTAGGGCATGGGAGTACACTACAGAATATTGACGACAATTTGCTAGACCCGAACAGGTTTATGTTACCACGGTTTCTGAAGCAAACGCCAATAACGTGGAAAAACGCCGGGAATATAAGGGGAATAAAGGGTAGATGATATATATTTTACAGAAGAAATTATAAATGCTGGGGATATAATTTCTTTGAGAAAGATATCACTTTTAAAGAATGTAGGAAATGAACTAAATTTGAATTTCAAAAACAATACTGTACCTCAGGAACAGAATAAAAATCGAGTTTTAAAATGGCAGCCCTTCAGCAAAGAGAAACCACATTCAGTTTGTACAAACGATATTAACCCCATATGCTGTAATACAGTATGATAAATAACTCCGTGATATGGAAACGAAGGTACTGCAGTATAGTAATTCGAAAACAAAGAGATGGTGATCAACTAAATTTGACTGATTATAATTTCGTCGATCAACATGCTTGACAACAGCAAATAAAAATTCCATCCTGGCTTTCATGCACAGAATTTCATTTTCTATTGAGTTTATTTTTTTGTTGCGTTATTTACCATCATAAATAATTGCAGTATTTTTGTAGATCCTGTGAAGATCCTTGAAAAACTCGTGGATCGTTTCTCACCAAAAAAGTTTCTCATTTCGGATTAATTTGCATTTATTCTGCAAGATGTCATGCATCGAAAAAGAAGGTGATTAGGGCCATGGGTTCATTCTTTTCTCCTGGCATAATTTTCACGGTCATTTCCATCCCCGTTTTATTTTCATCCCGTGGCCAAATAAAGATTACATCTAAAATATGATGTGAAATTCGCTAGGAGTTTGAAAAACTTGTACGACGTTTTGCACTTACTGTAATCGAGTATCACACGTTTTTTTTTTTTTAATCTAGGCACAAAATTTAGGTGTGCGTCTTACTTGGGTACACACTTCTTCACAAATTTTGAGCTTGTTGTGCATTTGGTACCTAAAGCAGAGAGGATCAATTTTTTTAACGTGTCAAAAAGCTACAAGAATAAACATTTCAATGCGTAGCAAGAAAACGTAATTTATTCACGGTTCATATTGTTTCATGCTACAGTACATATATTGGTATTATTTCATATTTTCTACTTTTATTCATCGAGAAAGTCAATTTTATCTAAATAATACAGATTTTAAGATTGAGTCGATCATTTGTCTCCAAGAACCGGGCGGGGATACATTTTTACACAAAAATTTATCTGTAAAATCAAGGCGCTCATCTTGCTTGAGGGCATTTGGCACTTGATTAAATATGGTACATTTGTCCAGGCAAGCCTTTATGCTACTATTGCCAAGGGATTTTTTCACCATGGCAGACGACAATTTAACCACGCAGCAGTATACAGTCGCACATAATCAAGTAGCGCAATGAAATGCTGCACAAAAAGTTGAAATCGTATGAGGAATTTTTATTTTCGGATTACGACTGTTACATCCCAGGATTTTGCATCGCCAAATATATTTTCATCGCTCTTGCAGAAGCAATCGTGTTTTCTATTCCATTTTGCAGGCGGTATGGGAGCAAAACGTATTGTTCGATGGATCAAACGGAAGCTGAAAACGTTCTGAGTCACACAAAAACAGCCGCCAAGTTCCGGTTCAACAGTGAAATACGAGTGTCAGCGTGAGATTTCGTCCCACGCACAGGTCAACTTCCGAACAATGCAAAATCAGAAAATGAATTTTTTCTTTTATTCGCAGGAAGGAAAAAAAACAATTTGCGGAATAACGTTGTTTCGCGCGTTGCAAAGTCGCTTGACAAAATAAAGTCTCGCGGTTCAAACTCAAGTGCGTCGACATCCATTCAAAACATATTCTCAGAAACACATCCACAGCTGTTGGGAATGGGGTTCCCTCTAAAAAAACAACAACATCTAAACGGGCCATTTATTTACATTTGAAAATCGACCCAGAGAGAACAGGTACTGCAGAAATAGCTCCTAGGACAACTGAACGTCAAACACAACTGGCCGCTAAAACCAACTGGGTGCCTTTGAAAATTATGCATCATCGTACACATGTATTACATATACAGTATCACAGTAAAATCTTGCGCAATTTTTTTTTCATAAACTAACTCATTTAAAAATGTGACTACAGAGCAGGGACACAAAACAAAAATTTCACGGTATAAGCGATTTTTTGTTAAAGTGGGATTCGTTGTAACCAGAACACACTGTACTACAGTAATAAATGATGTTTTACAATATCGTGATTGTAATTTGAAATGTCAATTCTCTTGATGCATCATTTTTGTGCTACACTGTATCCACTTTCATCTAACAAAAATTACTTCCTTTCATATGAAAAAAAGGAATGTTGTGAAGATCAATATTTCAGCAAACACATTTTCTTATAATTCAGAAGTTAATAGCCCCATTTCCAGGGTTTAATTTGCACATTATCGACCAGCATTTGATGCAAGAATTTTCTGCTGAAAACTGCAAACTCCATTGCGTGATCTGCTCAACATTTCTATTCATTATTCTCAGCTCTTATATACATCAGACAAACTTTCTCAATTAGGTACATTTCAAGCCGGAGACAATCATGAATTTAGTGTAAGGCTATAAACGAAAATCGTTTGTGCCAAAGTGACGTTTCGGAAATTCAAAACAAATTTAATTTGGATGAAAAGCAAGAACACGATGCTCTTAGTTTCGCAGCGGCCATTTTGTTCCCGCGACGGCCACTTGGGAGAGCGACCACTTGAGTGGCAGCGAGTTGAACCCGCACCCAAAAAGTACAGCACACACACACACACACACACGCACACGCCAAAATAAACGAAAAATCAAATAAGAAAAACTCGTGTACCCGAATCGCAGGATCGGCTCAGTCCCGAACCGTCGACCTTCCCACCCGTCGAACAAACAAACTCTTCCAAAGGAACAATAATAGGATGAGCAGCAGCAGCAGGAGCAGCAGCAGCAGACAGACCATAAGCGCCATGTCTATTTTCTCGCACGTGTTTCGAGATAAGACCAGTTTTAGTCAACATGCGCGCCGTCGTTCGGCCAATTGTCTGGGTGACGTTGTTTTGTGGCATCGCAGCCGGGGAAAAAGAGCAGGAGCGTTCTGCCGTATTTCCTGTCCGGTTGGGCGCAGTGACAGTTCTCAACTCGGGCAATTACGGGATTGCGCTGGAGTTGTTTCAGAACTTGGTGGTGATGCTGCGTGAGTTTATTGGCAGGTCAATTCCTGATGTATGCTGGTGCTGATGACTGACTGACGTGAACACAGAATACGGAATCCAACACACATGTACAGTTCTGTGTCGACAAACGTGCTTTATTGGAACTACAAAAACGTCTGAGGAATGAATTATGTTTCGTTAAACAAAACCACTCGAGTTTAGCTATCTATCCCCATCAAATGGTCGTGGAGAGTGTTTATACAGTATTTCACGCAAGAATAATAACATAATGAACGGAAATTTGCGTGTTCATGGTAAACCGCTGCCTCGATGCGTAATGGAACATTGTGTCAGTATACAGTATATTGAAACCAAATGCCGCAGTACTTGCTCTGAAATTAAAATTCTATAAATAACATCTGATCACTTCATTAGATCAGACAGTTGAACGCGAAAAATCATATTGAGAAACACCAGCTGTCAAAGCAAACGTTTCAACCGTCCCGATGAAAATATTTTCGTGGTCCTGCGGAAGTTGTTCATTCTTCTTGTTTTCAATTCCAATTCGGGACGAAGTTCTAGATCTTTTAGTCACATTAGGAATGACTAAAGGACTCCCTCTGATTACAAAAGAGCGAAAACGGGTGCTTCATACGTGCCGAACAAACACGTACTCTAGTAAAACTTTAAATGGGTAGTGCTAAACAGAGCCACCTACATACTACTCTACACGCAAAATATTGGCATTCCGGACAACTGAAAAGAACCCATAGGGGCTTTCCATGGAAAGTTGAATATTACGACACGTACAGTCGCTGATGCAAACATTTTCGTGGGTTCTGACTGCATTTTAAAATATCCATTCTGTCCGAATATATTCGCTCGAATACCACGAACCACAGAAAAGACACACATTTTGATTTTGCACAGTAAAAGTTCGGTAAAGCTTTATCCTTGCATAAGGCTCTTCTTTAATTTGTTTTATCTGTAAATTTAATATTAAAATCTATAATTAATAGAAATTTAAACTATAGATCAAATAAAAGTTTAAAATACAGTATGAAATTCGAGCAAAACGAAGGGCAATTAAATTTTCTCGCTTAGCACAAAAAATTTTTATACCTTCAGCTTCTTCAGGTACACTAAGATGTTCTTACAATGAAGCCATTATTTGGCCAGTGAAACAGCTTCATATTAACGGAAGATCCGCTACCAAGAAGTGCAAATAAAATTGCAGCTATTTGATAAGGAACAAAAATCGAATTCATTTTACTGTAATTGAATATTTTTATGACGTGATTTGTTGTGAGGCCTTTTTAGCCAACATTTTAAATTTCTGAATGATTTCAAAGTTCCTCATTCTCTCATAAATACATTATACCGTATTTACGCAAATATACGCACATTTTTTCCAATTTTAAAAGCTCAAAAACTAGAGGGGGGGGGCTTATATTTGCATATTTTAACAATTCGCATAAATAACGTATGCATCTATATCACGAGCTATTCCTGTTTTCAGGCCAAAAAAGTATCAAGCACGTCTTTTATTCAGCTCTTTTGGAACTGAAGTTTTAAAAAATCAGCTTTTAGCAGTTCAAGATGCATAAGTCATTAACTGAATGAAGAGTAAGGGTGGTTGTGACGACACTCTTTAACCGTTTCTGGGGAAAACATAAATTTAGTCAGAAATTTCAAGTTCCTGGAAAGTCAAAACTTCCGAGAACTATGTTGGTGCTCATATTCGGCTATTCATGGAATTTCAACTTTTTGCAGGAACATTTTTGGGAGATTGCATCTATTTGAGGTAGTGCTTACATGTACGTGACAACGGAATTCATGTTTCTTCGTTATTTCTTTCAAAATACTGTATATTTATGATTGAAACTTATATTAAATTACTAAGATTTTCTATTTTGTAATTGCATCTCGGTGACTCAGAGGCATAATTCAGCACACTTGGTCACACCAGAAAGCTCACTAGAAGAGGAAAAATACACAAAAGAGAGCTATTATTTCTTCACGAAACAGTAAATTACGAAAATTATAAATTTCAAGTAGAGTACTAAACTCTGGGGTGACTTCTGACGGAGGTAGTCATTTGCATTTCAGCAAAATACTGCTTTTTACGCTTAAATTGTACCCTCAATCCATGGATTCAGAATAAGTTTTGCAACCATAAGTTGCAGGGATTTCTGCCAATGAGCAAAAGTTTGTTGACAACTGAATGAGTTGTTACAAATTAATACAGATGTAAATCATTGATTGTATGTGATTGAAAGAATGTATCAAACGCGTCAGATATACGACGACCGTTTTAAATACATACCTATTTTGCACGCCATGTATTTTTGCAGATGCGCCGAGTGTGCACAATGCCATGCTTTACCTTTACGACTTCAACAAAGCTGCACAAAAGATGTACGCTCCCGATGAGAAAATCCCCATAAAGTTTGCCATGATCAACGCGGAAGCTGAGCCTCAGTTTATACAAGATGAACTCGATTACGTGGGACAACTGCCGGCAATTATTTTCTACCGCAATAAAACGCCTATTCCATTCCCAGGTGATGGTGTCTTCATTTAACCGTATTTACTCAAGTACCACATCCGTACATTTTCCCCCGAGAACTCGGGAAGTTTTGAACAGTCATTTTCTACGGTATGATTTCTTCTTGAAACTTTCTCAAAAACTAAGTGCGTGTCATAGTTAAAGCACATAATTAGATGAGTTTTTTAATACTGGAAACTAAAATTTATGGCATTATATAAGTCGACTCGAACGGAAGTTGAATGCAATTTGATTGTATACAGTTGTTGAGTGAATACAGGAGGACACTAAAAGAAAAAAAATTCGACGGAACAGAAAAAATTATTGTAGAGACCCCCTGTAACATGGGGATTTATTGTATGGATAGAATCATTGTAGACAAGATTGCTGTAGTGAGACTTCACTGTGCAAAAGTTATATAATACAGTATTTCACAAGAAAATATAAGACGAAGGCAGACGAAGTACAAGAGTCACATTTTATTAAAATATTAAACTTGGAATGCTGTATATAAATTCCTGACGCACTATTTTTTTTCACTGGTATTTTTCGGTGGACGCTCTATAGAACGAATTTTTTCCGTCCTTCAAATTTCATTGCAGAAAACCCCCGTAACATGGGAAAAGAACCTCACACAGGACCAGAAAAATTCGTTTACAGAGAAAACCATTGTAGGCAAGATCATTGCAGAGATGAGAGTCCGTCTGTACAGTACTTGATTTTTAGCTAAAATATCAAGGTGTACATCTTATACACATAGCTGGATGTGGTGCTTGAGTAAATACGGATTATACAGAAAATTCGAGAAAAAAATAAATAAAGTGATTCATGCTTCACAGGAGGAGGTGGACCAGCACGTCTCGTTCGGTGGATCAAGAGAACTATCAGAAGAGAGCGAAAGAGCAAATATTCGATCCCACTATTGAACGCCAGACACACGTCTTAATTTCGGTACCATTCCTGCTAAACGACACCCAGGAGGGTTACGTAGCCTTGTGGAAGACTGCTGCAGCAAACTGACATTTGTTTCTCGCGTCCCACAAAAAAGCTTTTTGAAATTGTAATCCTGCTATGATTGATTGGAATCGCAAGGTCGCGATGAAAATGCATGGCTTTAGTAAAAGATTGAAAATAAACCACGGAAATTGAAATCCCTTGCGACGATCAATTTGGATTTTCATTTCACGCACATTTATTCAATCAAAATAGTTTTCTCACAACACTTTTTAGCTGTATGCGGCATATACGTATACGAGGTACAGTATACACGTCAAACCTCCAACTTAAAATCCACATTTTCCGATTCGAACAATATCCAAGTGGATCTAATCCATTACGAAAAATCCAGAAGTGCACGCAGAAGTTATGTTGCTGCTCAGCTGAATTAACGGAACGTTTTGTTAGCAGCTGACTAACGCCATTTTAGACTTGACCGAGTGTCATTCTGATTTTAAAATTGCACGGTGGACTCTCTCCAAGTCTACACGATAAAATTCGAGGGACCAGACACGAATTCATTGTAGAAAACCCATATAACATGGAGAGAGACCTCGTCGGAAGCAACAAAAAAAAATTCGTTATACAGAGAATATTGCCATAGAGAGAGTGATAGACCTGTGATTTTTTCGTATACAGTACTGTACCGTACATACGTTTCCTGCACTTGCTTAACATAGATGGAGCACAGAACATGTAAGTTACATTTATTACAATCAAAATGTTCATCAATGCATGAGGCCTATTTCTGGGGTTACCAGCCTAACCTTTATTCTGCCCAGAAAATGCATTTATAATTTTTTTTTAAATGAGGACTAAACAGTACTGTGTAACTTCGAAAGTTTATTTATACCATTAAAATAATTGCAAGCGTTAAAACATCCCACAAAAATGAAAAATGAATACAATTTATCTGCTGAATTTTCAATATTTAAATGAAAACAATCATCAAAGATATTTTTAACAAGTTGAAAAGCTCTTCGATTAAAACAAGTCCAGCAGTTGACCAACGAAAGTTGAATTTCTAACACTACAGCAAAATTCGCAATGATAATCATTGCATACTCAAAGAAATCAAGATTTCAAACTAAAGCCACGTGGCTTTATTGCAAAATTCTTGCGCTTCGTGCCATTTCCTTCATTCGGAAACTGAGCACAATTAATATTACAAAAAAAGAAGAGAAGCTCAATCGTCTTATGCGATTTCCAGGATAAATGTAACAACGCTCCGAGAAAAAATTATTAAATAATAATACATGGAAGAACTGCTTCTATAGAAATCTCTGATCAAAAATTGTCCAGTAACGCAAAATGCGCAAACGGAAAACCATACAGAATGGACAAAGAAACAATTTCAACAGCCATACAAAAATTAATGCAGGTTTAGCGGTAGATGAATATGCACAAGTACGCTAGATGATATCCACATTAAACCAACACCTCTGAAGAATCTGCACCTAATGTACCCAAAGCTTCCAGATGGTCTGCTGCATAAATATTGAGGAAAATAAAAATAAACAAAACTTTCCACATTCCTTCGACGTTGAAATCTTGTTGAATCAAAAAGCATGTTCCCATAAAGAAGATGAGACACATACATACTGTACTCCCAAACGACGACAATCCGTTATTCTCCGAAGTTTACATAACTTTCGTCTCCATTCCTCGTCCTTTTAAAAGAGTCAGACCGGACAGGAAAATGAGGCGGAGGAGGAAAAATCCCAGGCGGAAAATTCCACAGGAGGTTATAAAAAAGAAAGAAGAAAATCTATCGTGTTGATAAAACGTTTCGCACAGGTGGGAATTGCAGGTCCATAAAATCCACACCAAGTCCTAGCAATAATCCAGTGAACAGCACACACTAGCCCCACAGCCGCCCACGAAGTCCACTCATTTCCCTTCAGTCATCATCAGTGAGTTAGTCCAGATCAACATCCGTCAATAATCTTGGCGGATTGCAAAAGGGCAGAGCCAACGCCCTGTTTTTTCCCAAAACGTCCCCAGTATCGGCGGTTTATCCAAAGAAAATAAATGCCCACTAGTCGCTGCAAACGCCACGGGAGAAAACAAAATGTACCATTAATCAGAAAAAAATAGTAACGCAAATCAAGGGCAAGAAAATATTCGGCTCCCAGGTTTTTTTTCTTCCCTTTTCCAACGTCCCTTAGTTTTCTTTTCGTCACCGCGGATTGCAGTCCGTTCACAACAGTCTTCAGTGCGATCTCCACCGTGAATTATATAACTAGCTGCGATCTCGTCCATTGTTTGAGCTCCGCAGCAGCTTTTCATTTCACCAGAAGACTCCTCCTCATTATTGAAATCAGAATTCAGACATCTTCAAACATTGAATTTGTCGGCCGCGATAAGAACATCTCATATCGCGGTAGTTCTCCGAATCCATTGAACAACGAATCATGCTGCTTAAACTGGTGTCGATTTGCGTCGCGTTCGCGACATTGGCGGCAATAGCTTCAGCAGGTGAAGGGAAATGGAAGAAAGAAGACAATCTGGTCATCCTTACCGAAGACGACTTCGACAAGGCCGTGAAGAACTTCAAGCAAATGCTCGTCATGTTCCGTGAGAAATAATTTCATAATAACTCATCGACGACCACCATTTTCCCCTGTTCTTCTTATATTTGTATGTAGACGCTCCGTGGTGCGGAATCTGCAGAGGATTCATGAAGGACTACAAGAAGGCAGCTGAGATCCTGAAAGAGGAGGGAAGTAAGATCGTTTTAGCAACAGTGAATGGAGACATCGAAAAGGGCCTGACGAAGAGGTTCAACTTACCCGGGTTCCCGATTGTAAAATTCTACCGTAACGGAAATCCCATCAACTACACTGGTGAAAAACATTTTCAAAAACAGAGGGAAAATTACGCAAAAATTATATATTCTTTTATAAATTCCCAACATGCAGGTGGTCGAGGTGCAAAGAATGTCGTCAAATGGCTCAAGAAACAAACATCGAAGTAAAATGTTCCACTCTCGGAGAATAAGGAGGGGGATCGTCAACGAGTGCGAGGAATCGATGTGGGATACAAAAGACCAACACAATAAAAAAATTACAACTTTTGAAACAAAACAATCGGTGTCACTGTACGGATTTTCGGTGGCCTTAAACATTTCATGAAGCTGCTTATCTTCCTAGCGAGAAATTGAATGTACAAGAAGTTACCAAGGTAACCCCTGAAAGTATGCCTTCATTGAATTTTCGCGCTGGGTGTTACTTGAATCCACATGCGTGCTGGAAGCAAGTAAGCAAATCGATCGTTTCCATTCAGCACATCATCTTCAGACAAATTAGAGCGAGTATATTCAAAATCCGGAAAAAAATCTCATGCGTCATCAACGCTTTCATAAAGTCACGCGTTAAACATTTGAAAAAAGCATTCGAGCGTAGGCATTGTACTGTACAGTACTTCAGTAGACAAACCCATCTAATATCATATTTAAAAACCAACACCGGATTTCCGATATTGCTCCGGTAAGCTTCGAAACGTCTCACTTCGGCGTACATGGCTGCAAAAGTAAATATATGCACACGTACATACGCAATTTCCGTGAATTACGCGAAGAAACGTCATCCCTCTAGTAATCTAGTTCACTGTGTACCCTTATATCTGATTCAGCTTTAAGATTAAATAAAACCGCAAGAAAAGATCAGAAAAGTAGAAGCTATGTGAATGAAGGGAACGGCAGCTTCCAAAGAACTCGGATCTGCATTATCTGCTGATTCCGTTCACCAGCATCAGAGGCTATCCGGAAAGTTCTACGCGAAGAACTTCATAAATTTCTTAGTACAGTATTGTATATCCGCGGAAAATACGCTGGAACCTCGTCTGGACTATGAAAACGCTCTGAGGAGCTCCGATGAACCATCCGACAGGATGTAAATCTACAAATTCTCAAAGATTCAAGAACAAACCGTGTACAGAGATGAACAAGATTTGCAGTGAATATAGTAAAATCCAGTTCTACCTTTTGCCATATGTACCATACAGAGAGGAATTATTGAAACAAAAGACGGTTTGATCAACTGTGACATCTTCTGTATCAATGAAGCATAACCGACTGATCAGAAAATGGAAGACTTAATCAACTCGTCTTAGTTGTCGTCATGGGCAGGAATGGATAGTAAAAATGGGCGTCTTTTTGTTGTAAGATACATAATTCCTGCGCTGGACATCTCCTGCCATCGCAGATTGAAGCAGAACACTAATTACTATCGCATGGATCAAGCATCCGTTCAATTCAAGATGTCCCTATCAATGTGGATTCTTTGCGACCGAACACAACATCCTGCATACCTCATAATTTCAACTTGGACAAACTTCAGTAACCCCTGAACAATTAATCATCGCAACTATAAAATCCGCCAAAATGTTGGAAATTGTCATGTCCAGTCATTCTTGATAATTTTCCAGTCATTGTCTCCCTATATAGTCATCCGCTCTTCAAATGAGTTCACTGCTTCGTGTGATCTCTCAGTAATCAAGGAAATGCAACTGACACTCACTGATCAGTCAAAGATTATTTGAACCACGGATTGTAGTAGAATTTGAAACCACGACGAAACCGGACAGACACAAGAATACGAATCGACTTTCAGCAATTGGAAACTCTTTCGTACATCGATTACTGCGATTTAAACGAAGCAGCAAGTCCAGCAACACACGTATGAAATTGAACTCATCGCGGGCACGTTTACTGAACTAACTCCAGCACAGCGTAAGTAAAACTGTATCTTCCAATGCGGCCGTTTCAACTCTATTCAAGCGACATTACTATAATTTAATGTACTCGAACACTGATCTTTTCTCAGGTCTATGCCGTCTATCCCATATGAGATATGCATTGCTGTCCTCAACTCCAGGCCTAATTTCGCCGAGAAGAAAAGACAGAAGTTTAGGAATAGACATCCTGATCTGGCGAATCAGAAGAAAACTCAGGAAAATGTCACCAATAATGCAAATACTGACGCTTCTCATCCAATAACGCATGAAGGAAAAAAAATCGGGCATCGTGGCAGAGAAAAATAAATGTACATAGAGAACTACATAATTGAATAAAAACTATTGCCAGATCGAATTAACGCGTTATTAGCTCCAGTCTGGTATAATGAGGATGTCCAACACTTGAATAAATGTGAGAAGACAGAAAACCGCGATTCTTAATCCTCCGGTTTACCATCACAACACATACACGCCTTTCGGAAATGCCGCTGTGCTGACGTGATTCTTGAAGTTTCTTAGCCCGGAAATCAGAGTCATGTTATTCACCAAGGTCCTTTTGAGTTTGTGCGCGATAACCGTGATCAGTCTTCCCGTGACTCACGGTCATGCCGACGAATACAACTATGAGAAGGGAGTCGTTCAATTGGACGAGAGCAATTACTATAAAGCGATCAAGCGGGATTTCAAAAAGCTTATGGTTTTTTTTTGTGAGTGGACTCATCATTGCCTTAATTTATTTTTTTACCTAAAGAGCATACGGACAATCTCGGGAATAGAATGCGTACAGGAGAGCGTCGATCACCCGATTTAATGAACGCTTGCTTTATTTGTGTCGTGGGCATAACAATACCCATGAGTATATTACAATCAAATTCAGTATTCATCAAATGATCAAACGAGTACTGTATACTACTGTACTTAATTATCGAAACATCTCAGGGCATTATTTAGCAATTAAATTAGACGACGAGAAGAATAAAGTACTGTACCCCAAACTCAAACAGACTTTTTTCTTTCTCGGGAATCCGAAATATATTGGACAGTGGTAACGTACGCTGAAACGATCAGAGCCCGGATAAATTCAGTTCAATTGCAATCAACTCAAAAATCGCAGCCCATGGTACAGCACTCCTCATCTACAATCATTATGTAAATACACTTACAAAATGTTTCCACGTATAGGCAATCTTCTCTGATTCGAATGGAAGTCGAAGCAGATAATTCTAATCACAATTCAGCAGGGATTCTTCGATAACAGCTTTCGGAGTCGAACAAGAGACAAATTCTTTGGCTTCCTTCGTGACGATATGATATTGATCAATTGAAAAGCCGACATGCGAAACAATTTCGTGAAAATTCATCACAAAATGTTCGTTGAATTCTTTTCCACGCGGTGTCAGACAGCCCGAGATGCAGTATTTGCAGGGGATTTATGAAGGAGTTTCAGGCGGCAGCGGCTAAAATAAAGCCAGCCAAAGAAGGAGATCAAATTGAGTTTGCATCTCTCAACGCTGATCGAGCGAAAACCCTGCTCCGCGCGCTTCGGTTTCCAGGGATTCCGGTTCTTCGGTTCTACAGAGACGGATTCGCCCATCCATACTCAGGTAATCAAGGAATCCTCGAAGAAACTGAAGATGCTTTTGAACGACAGGTTTAACAAACGATTATTGCGTTATTAAAAATTAATGCTCCTTTCTGTGCAGCAATATCTTCTAATATGCCTATCATCATCTCTCCATGTCAACATGAATGTTTTTGAAACTTTAAATATACAGGAAAAAATACATAACAGTGAATATAATCTACGCATTCCCATTCGAAGTATCCTTGAAGTGGACGGCCGACTGCAGCCGACCTGGCACCATCTATAGATGTGGAAAAGGCTTCGAAGTGGTAAACTAATCAACTCTGGCGACAAGTTTCCACTTTTTTTCAAAATCATGAAGTTAATTCAAATACTGAAATACCTTTAAAAGAGACGAACTCTTTCCGCAATTTCGCAGGAGGCAGGACAGCGGACGATATCATCGACTGGCTGCACAAAAGCGCGGACAAACCTTCGAAGGAGTTGCGTCGAATCTAATCGCGACGGGAAATGAGCGCTTTCGTCGTTCCTCGTCGAAAAAAACATTGGCCGAGCGCCAGCAGAGACCGAGTTGGCAAACATTTGGACCTATCCCCGCAGTCAATAATAAGCGCCGAATTCTCCTCCACAATCGACGCCTCTTTCCTTCTTTCCCGTGCTCGAATCCCACCGATTAATTGCTCCAAATTATACCCTGAAAAATATAAAGATAATTCTAAACCATCGTGATTTGTTTCATGCTCTATGCAATCAATCTCTGCCATCAAGCCACCACCTTCGGAATCATCCGTCGTGGCGCTGCCTGTTCGAGTGGAAGATTTTCTCAGACTCTTACGGGAAAGATCCTCTGTATCGCGGCAATAAGTTACCCAGCAAAGAATAAACGTCCTTCCATTTCGTCTCTGCTCAAGTCAAAATTCACGAGAGGATAAGAGGACAAAATTTAAATCGAACGATTGAGAAGTGTTCAGATAAAGCAAAATAAAAAATAGATTCTTTCACGCATTGGAACTCATCCCCCCAATGGTATGTTGCTCGCGTGGTTGGTAAGGATGCAAAAACCGACAAGATGTCGTCGCATAGCGTGGCTTTTCGTGTTGTTAGTCATAGTGCAATACGGGGTTCGCGGTTCAGAAACTGAAAAGAGAAGAAGTGTGCGTGGTCAGGGAACGATTCTCCTGCTCGACGAAGATAACTTCACAGAAGCTGTCCAAGAGCACAGTGACTTGCTAGTGCTTTTCTGTGAGTATGGCGCAGTACTTTCAACAGGCTATTTCGATTTTCTGAACACCCCTCATACGGTGGCATGTCGATATTTCCTATAGAAGTGAACAGCCCAACTTTCCGAAAACGTTTTGAAGAAATATGTTCAAAGGATAGGTTTAATGGACTATAGCAAGATATTAGAAACAAATAATACAATAACTTGATTCTGCTTTGGATTTTAGTAATCCCAAAAGTTGCTCGAGGGTTGAAGTTCATTCGTGATGGATGTCCATGAAAATCAAGAGATGTCACAAAATCAATAAGAACAACGCGGGTGAATTTGTTCCGAGCAAAAATTAGTGAAGAATTGTATTCTGAACTGTCTCAAGGTCCATGACCTGAGGAGCTATAGAACACATCCCGCATGCTCATGGTTATCTTCATCCTACTCGAGTACAAATTTTTTAAAAAATACAAAAAAAAGAAAGTCAGTAGTCGAAAATAATTGCGGTTCTGTTTTGAACACGCTCTGCTGCGAGTTGATGACGAATTTGAACAGGAACTAACCCAATGAATCTTTCATTCCAAAAGTAACCTTATACAATCTCCATGACATACATTCGGCGAGGCCAAAACAACCGACGGACCACCCTCGGCACACACAAATGCATTTCCTTGGAAATAAATATCACATCATACATGTGTGTCGTCGGCTGTTCGGCGAACTTGAATGTGGTGTAATTTTGAAAAACGAACCCCACAGATATGCAGAATTCCGGGAAGTCCGGAAATCTATCTGTTTCGAATTTTGTCAGCGGAACATGACTGCCTCCTTATTTCTATGAAAAACCACTATCTTTTTCGGGTCTCTACAGATGCACCTTGGTGCGCAGTTTCACGCGGATTTCTCAAAGATTTCATCAAATCAGCTGCAATCTTGCAGAAAGAAAAATCTTCCCCAGTGGCGGCGGCCACAGTGAACATGAGGGAAGAAAAGCGGCTCGTGGGAAGATTTACGCTCCCAAATTTTCCCATCGTAAGGTTTTATCACAACGGCAAGGCAACTCGATATCCAGGTATGGACTGAATGTTATGACTAAAAGGGAATGCAGACATGTGTTCTTGGGTCTACAGGTGGAAGAGGGGTGAAGAATTTGGTGAAATGGGTCCGTTCCCAACAAGAAAAAGCCTCCAAAGCAAGAACAGAATAAGGCATACAAATATTGTATTCAGTACGTATTGTACAGCATCTGAATTCCATTTGAGTTCAATAAGAGAGGCATCATCATTTGAGCATAAAGGTATCTGTCAAAAAACTCAAAATTTGTGGAAGAAATCACACCACAAGGTTCAGTAATGAGGTCAAATTGCAGGTTGATGTTCTTTACATCACATCCTGAGATTAAATTGACTGAATCATTTTTCTTGAGTTCTTTTTTTTTCTTACTAATTCACAATTTTGCAGGAGTGGGATTGAAATGATGCCTGCTGGTTTGGCACTGTGCTTGAAGGAATACACACAATCAGCTGGTATGAGGCTGGATCCTCCTTAATGGAATCCCTTGCACATGGGCATTTCTTTGCTTGAAAATAAATCAGGTAACAAAACAAAGCAGCAACAGATCACAATCCAGCTACTACTGTATACAGAGACCAACACAAGTGTGCAGCAAGATTTAATTCTTCAAAAATTTCCGCAATAAAACCAACTAACACATAAGAACACAAGTGTTGACAAGACTGTGCAACTCAAGTAATTTGTATAGCCTCATTGAAATTGTTGTGCATCAAATGCTGTTTCCAGTGGTCACTAAATGGTCAAGCTTTGTATGTATCATGCATATCAAAGATGCTGCACTGCATGCAAGATCATGTGGAAACATCACTGGATGTCCATTTTATTGTGGAAATGGTACTACATGATTCCCAGCAGCAACCTGTCATCCACTGGGCCACAACAAAATTACCCCATTCCTGTCCAGTGGACAACACAAGCTCAGCAGCTGAATTCATCTTGTGCCTTTCTCACAGACTGACACAAAGGTTCTGCAAGAGAAAATTTTCAACAACAAAACAAGCAAGAACACAGGTTGTAAAAGGATGCCATGCAGTCAATTGCCTTGCCAGAGCCATTCTTGACCATGTTTTGCAATGACCAGTGCCAGTTCAGTCCAGTCAACTTGTGGTCAAGCCAACAATGCTCTACCCAGAATATCACCAGTTTTACCTTACATTAATTCTTCCCCCCCCCCCCCCCCCAAAAAAAACAAATGATGCTGGTTACCCTATCTGGAAAACACTTCAAGTCAAATGTATTGTGTATCCCTCTGAATTTGACTTAAAGAGGTTCAACTGTACAAAAAGTCAATCCACAAAGACAATTCGACATGACCTGCGCTGTGATGTCAGAATTATATTTAGGTCCTTCTCCCTGATCAACAAAAAAAAATGTTGAACACAGGTTATCCATTTCTTGTTAAGGATAATAAATACGGTATTGCTGGTTAAAATGAATTCATCCTGAAAGACCAGAAGTCACATCCGAACTACGCGAGCAAGCAAACTTTTGATTAAGCAGTTTACCTCAACAGAGTTACTACTCCACTAATGACAGTAAATGAGCACAATAAATGATCAATGAGCTCGGCAATGAAAACTGGTGTGTATTCGAGATCCGTCACTACCACAGGAACCATACCAGAGCATGAAGTACCAACACCTGCTGCATATATAGCAGCCAGAGAAGGCACTGGTTCTTTGAACATATCGCGCAACTTGAAGAACTTCAAAATGCAACCTCTCTAGAAAGCATTCTAAAATCAGGAGACCCATCCGGATCGTCTTACGCTCTCAATCAAACACCCAATGGCTCCAAAATATCCCTCGTGCTCAAGAAATAAAGCTCTTGATTTTCCGTTCGACCAATAATCCATTGCGCGGCTCAATAACTTCATCGATATGGGATTAATCCGCAAAAAATTTCCAACGAATAACACTTTGTCAATGCCCTCACTCTTGGCCACCATCAGCGCAATGGATCCAATATTGTTTGTGACGGTAACTAAAGTAGCCCGAGCCAAGTCCGCTTTGCTGACGCTTTCTCTTTTGACTTCTGAATTCATCTGACCAAAGCTTGCAGCAACAACATTTCCAGGGAGCTGAAACCTCTCGTAATCACCCCCATAGATATCCTTGACAAGTTTGTCCACCTACGATAAAACGAATGGTGATCCAAATTTATTCTTCGAAAACTTGGATAACCAACATTACCTTGTTGCTATCACCTTTCGCGGCAAGTTCAATTGCTGCTTCGTACGACTTGCAGCCCGTCAAAAGACAACAAAGACCGAAGAATGTTCCTCCACCAAGACTGCTACCGGATACACGCTCAAGTGAATCAATTCCTCGCACACTCAGAATGCTCACACCGGAGCCGATGTTCACCACGAGGAACGGATACGGTTGTAAAAAATCGTACTTCACTTTCAAGCCCAAAATGGCTTCACTTGAAGCAACGTCATCATCTTGCGCACTGGAATGAATTGCGTGATAAAGCTGGAATATTACTGAAAATTCGCCAGCGAGGATTACTTGGTATTAGCAGACGGGCATGAACCCGGACTGGAATTTTCGTCGCAAACATGGAACAATTCGTGCGGATTGTGCTCTTCCATGAAAATAATCCCACTCGTCAGCGTCTCGAGTTCATCAAGCTTAACCAATTGAAGGCCGACTTCCTCGAGGAAAGCGTTTTCGAACTTGTACGCACCCCCACCAGTGGCAAAAAGCAAAATGGATGTCTTCGCCAATTCTTTACGTTTCGCAAGTTCTAAAAATGTAACCATGTCACTGGTAGGAAATCTGATGAAATGCAGCATTCCCTGCCGATTAGCAATAGAAACTTCCAACTGTAACTCCACATCGCGGTGACCAGTAAGGCCGTATGTAGAGGAAGCCGTCAAGTAACGTCGTATGTTGCCTATTATTTCGCTCTCATGATCTTCAACAGTAGGACAAGGCTCGAAATACACTAGCTTTGTCAGAGTGCCACCGATGTCCATGCCAAACCAGGGCATTGGAAGTACATTGTCACCAACCTTCGGTCCTTCGTCGCGTTTCATTGCATGAGGCACTGAACCTGGAACGCACCTGACAAACGAACTCATCCAGGCAGCCGGAAATAATGAACTTGAATCACAAACCTTCGTTCTCGAAATTTTCGCGCACAAATATAAACGTCAAATGCAAATGTTAGAAGCGTCACGGGCGTACCCCCTCGTGCAACCACTCAACTGTGTAAGTATTCGTTGTTGGTCAACACGCCGAATTTTCGCGGGTATTCGAGCACGCGATTGCGAAAATCAAAGCCTGTGCTTCTTTGAACAGGGGGTCACTCTCAAGTGGGTACATTGCACGGCTTTCAGATCGTCCATTCTCTTGAATTCCAATTTTGGCAGTCCTTGCTGATCAAATGTTTTTTTTTCTTTAATGCATGATTGATGCCCGTGCGGTTGCAGCCGCGCAAATGAAATGCTCAAGTAGGTCTATTATATATAAATCAAACGATAACTGCATATTTTCTAATTTTTCTCTGCATTTCACCCATCTTCCATAACACGCAATACATGATCACGGAGCCTCGATCGTTGTCGAAGAAAAAAGAAAAAAATTTAATTAACAATTTAAGAAAATCCGCAGAACAGTTGAACATACTTTCGTAAATATACTTGAATTAATGCCTCTTCTGATCATCAAGAAAACGAGGATTGCCAAACTGGTTATCGTTGAAATACGTGTTATTTTGTGTCAACTGTCCACAACGTAGCTGATGGATAACGATTACAAAACTATTATAGGTTGGATTCTATTTTGATAGTACGCGTCAAAATATAAAAGACGCATATTTTCTCCCTGCGCGTTATTCTCATCATAAGATTTCCAAAATATTAATCTGCAAAGGTATTGATTGTTAATTCAAAATTATTTCATATCACAATAACATATAGAAGCATCCACAGCAAAATGTTAATACGGAAGCCTTTTAAAACTGCGGGGAATGATAAAATGAATCTTATTCATGCCCCTCATCCCCAAAGAATCTCCCATTATCAAAAGAAAAATTGAATCAACCATTTATCGATGAAAAGTGCCGTATAAAACTACATATGAGCTGGGTATATCGGAGAATAATCAAGTCGATCACAACTCATCCTTGCCGGCGGTTTCTTCTTCCTCGGGCTTTTCCATCTGTAAAAACAAATAAATGTTGAAAATTGAAGGTATAGTCCTGTATAGCTCAGGCAGTCGCTTCAACCGAAGAACAAAGAAATCATTTCTCACTAGCTGGAAGGATTCAAAATAATAATCGTAATTGACTGTTGCATGCATACAAAAATCGTGGAATCATGATAAGCAAGCAATAAATAAATATGTTCTGCTGTGCCTATAGCGCTTCGATCGGAATATTGCAATCAGACGCACATATATGCACTCCGAAGCGTTTTCTTTAGAAGCAACTCGAAAAAATCTAAGACACACCCGTCACCCGATATAAAATTGAGAAAACAATTTTGCAAGGTCATTCCGGTACAGTATACCTCATTCGAAGCATCCCGACCTTCCAGAAAATCGGATAAGGCCTCCAAGGTTTTGGGACCAGAGTAAGCAACAACCTAGTTTAGTTCATGCAGCAGACATGCAAGAAGTGATGAAATCCCCCGCGACGTACATGCAAAAGAGAAAAGGCTTGCGTTAGATCAAAAAACAAATAAGTTTCACCTGAGGTTGCTGTGGATAAGCCTGACCATACGATCCGTCAGTATCCAAAAATTTTGACAAGCCGTCGAGAGTTCTTTCGCCGTTATACTCAATTGCCTATACATTTGAAGATACAGTACTTATTGAAAATTATGATTCAGTTCATCATATATGTCAGCATGGACAGTGACGAGTAACACGATGAATGCCGAGCGGACATTTTCAAGATTATTGGAATATCCCTCGAAACTATAGGATATAACTCATCGGACTTACCTTGTTGTCGTACTTTTTATACAATTTTATCGTCGGGAATGACTGAATTTTGGTATGCTCGAGCTCATTCAAGGTGGCATCCATCTTGGCAATCACAATCTTGTCATTGTCTTTGTACTTTTCCCCAAGCTGTCAAGCAGAAGCAAATCGTTTTACAGTTCAAAAAAATTATATTTGCTAATTTCATTCATGTGAAAGATAACCTCTTCATAGATGGGGGCCAGTTGCTTGCAGTGTCCGCACCAAGGTGCATAAAATTCAACCAACACGTCCTTTTCCTTGTCGAAAACAACTTCGTCAAAATTTTTTGCAACGAGAACTTTGACTGGATGCTTATCCCAGTCCTCTGGGATTTCTTCGGAGAGAAGATGGGGCTACAGAATAACAGAATACGGGAAAAAAAGTCGAGTGCGTAAAAAAGTGTTCATATGTCTGACGCATAAGAAAAAACCAATAAAATGCAGCGTGATCCACGCACGACAACTAATAATTACTGGAATAGAAATATAGAAGCGTGGATATAATACCGGGAGTAGTTGTAAAAAATATGTATTAATTCAGTTTTGCGAAAGCGTAAAACGTGATGGAAAGTCCCGGCATCATGATCGAGACATTAGCCAACAGAATAAGTGCTCAATTTACTAAAATAAAAAAGGTTAATTCTTATCCCGTATTTTCCGAACTGAGACGTCGCTGGCGCCGGCAATAACCTCGTAAAGAAATTATTGGAAATTTGGAATCATCAGCAAGGCATGATTTATAGTATCTTTCAAATTGATAAATTCGGGAGAAATGATATTTGACACATCCTGGTGGAGACAAGGATTAATGTCTTTTACGGATGACACGCTGGGATTCACCCGAACAGCTGGGGTCAAAATGTTTCTTTATTTTTACGATCTGGTCTTTCGAGGTGATTAGCCGATTATTAATTTCCTCGTCTTTCCCTCCAATGCTCATTTTCCCTTAATTTTACTTTCATTCGGGTCACTGTAAATTTTGTTGCGTATAAATATGGGCAGGAAAATTGTATTGCTACAAATGGGCATCGTTTTATCGCGTGTCTTCGAAGCAGTGCATGAATCACCGTCAGTGCACATCTGTACATCAATCTGACGTATAAGGAAAAGTGCAAGATACATTACCTTCAACGAACCGTCCAGGAATTTCGCGACGAAGTCTCTGAGACTCTCCGTGTCCTTGATACTCTCAGCTGGCTTGTACTTGGACATATCCTCCTCCAACTTGATGATTCGCACATCGGGAATGTCAGAATCTTTCATTCCAAAGAACTCAATGATTCGTTTATGCTCTTCTTCGTCTGTGTCGATATGCACGAAGAGGATCCTGTCTCGTACTTCTTTCGCAACTTCCCGAGCTCCTTCGATGAGTGCTTGTGTTTTGTCGTCCTTGTTTCCAGCGAAGATCAGAACGTGAGATTTGATATCGCCACCGAAAACTTTCTGCGCAGTGTCTTGTTTGAACTCAACGACCAATGGCAAAGCGTTGGTTCTTACGAACTTGACGATGGCATCAGGAGTGATTTCTCCTTCGAAGAGGGCCTTTCCGTCATCAAACTGTTGAATAAATAAGAGTGATGCGTCGAATCAATGAGCTGATGCAAAGCAGTGAGAAATTAAAGAAGGAAAACTGAAAATTTCTCAAGATTAATGCATAATCGCTTTCACGTTTTCGAGTTTCAGTATCAATGCTGAGAAACTAATTAAAACGCTATATACCGCGGCAAGGACATACAAGTACTGTATATGGTTAGGTTACCACTGGAAAAAGTGCTAACCTGCATCGCAACCCCTGTCATGCAGAGTTTTATTAGACAATACATGTCAAATAGTTGTGAGGCTTTGGTTATTACAATATATACAAAATAATTATTGAATGACCACACGCGGCATCTATATAAATAAAAGGCATGCATACAGAGCTTCGCTGTACATCCAGGACACTACAAGATGAAATGTCAGTCGATTTAAAATTACCGCAATTCACAGAAACCTTCTGTCCTTATTCGTACGATAATCATTACAGTAGTTTCAGCTGAACGGGGTTCTTCGCCTTATACACAAGCTGCTTCCGTAATATGTAGAAGCAAAACCCTCACCTTCTTCAACATGATCACGGAGTTCTCGGACAATTTGTGCTCGTCGGCGATTTGCTGCAAGTCGGTTATGGCAAAGGGGTAATCGTCATTCGAAGCAGCAGCTTCCACGAATGCTTTGGCAGCAGAGCCTGCGAGATCTTTGAAGAATCCAAGAACAACGACTTCGTTCTTCTCGATAAAGCTTTTCGCGTCATCCGCGCTTTCGAGAGTTTTTGCAGGAGGACCTGACTTTTTCTGCACCCAGCTAACTATGTCGGCAGCTTGACGCCCACCTTCACACGTACGAGAAGGACGAGAAGAAATAAAATAGGGTGATTCTTGTATGCAATTCCATCGCTCATCAGAGATGAGGGATCTATAATTTTAGAGAACAAACCGGAAAAGCTGATGGATTTCCCGTTGCGGTAGAAAAAGAGCGTAGGAAATCCGCGGACACCATGGTCACTGGCAAGATCTTGCTCCACGGTCGCGTCAACTTTTGCAAGAACAACGTCAGAACCTTCGTCTTTCAAAATTTGAGCAGCCTTCTCGTATTCCGGCGCGAGTGCACGACAATGTCCGCACCATGGGGCATCTGAAATTGTTGTGGAATGATCATCTTCGTACTTTCTGAAAACTTATGTTCTATACGCTTCATCATCAGTTCTCGTAGTTGATTATAACATAATCGTCTCCGTGGAGCAGGATGATAGAAATATTTGACGTGGTGAAAGACTCTAAATGAGTATCAAAATTGCGCGGTTGCACGTGTTTCCGAAATAAGATATTGTATTAAAAATATACTTTTTGTATACGCGTTGTTCAGAAGGCTACGGCGCAGTTTCTGCAGTGAGAACATTTTAATTCGTCTGATGAAATTTCACATTCAGTCCAGTCCAACAAACATTTTTCCATGGATAGATGTCACTGTCGTGTAAATTTCTCTCGAACCCGAAGTAATACTGACTGCAGTGCTGAGTCATCGTACACATTCTACTGGACTATGTGAATGTTTCTAAATCCTTCATGCGTGTGCATAAGCAAGGCTATTCTATCGCCTCAAAATCACAGAATAGGAGTGGTTCGGTAGTCCGGTTTATGTCTGATTTTGAAAGATGAAAACTATATTTTCAATATTTGCCACTTCCCGATTCTTGACGACTATATATCTCCGCTAATTTATCACAAATTTGTATGAACGAAAGCGGAAACTTCGCTGGGGTAAGGTTAACGGCGATCAAATACTGTGAAGTATATTATTGTATATTGAAGAAATGGGAAACAACTTTTTTCACCATCAATACGGTAAAAAAAATTAATGTACTGTATTGTCAAATCGACGGGAGTACGCATAAAATTTTTTCTATGTCCAAGTTTTTAAAAATTCTACACAAAGAAGAAAACGTAGAAGTATATCGCTAGCTCATATACAGCGGCAGCACCATATGATATGACGCGTCGCTCTGACTCCAAGTAAGTGATAAAACGAAAAACTTCATAAATTTGCCCGACGAGACTCGGATTCGCCAACATATGAGTACCGTATTTATCGCTTATTTCAAACAGCGGGAAGTTTAACTAAATGCCTTCGTCGAAGTGAAAGTGACACGACAGCAAGGGTGCCATTTTCGGCCCCACGTCAGATAAAACTTACAGAATTCGACGAGAATGTGCGAGTGTTCCGTGATAGCGGTCTGGAAGTTGTCTTTGTTAAGCACCAATACTCCATTTTCGGCTTCAATCTCACCATTCGCAGCCGACAGAAACACACAAGAAACGCACAATAACAACTTGAGACCCATGACAAAATGCGCGAAGATGGGGTTAACGAGAGAAAAAATAAGGTCTGACTCACAAAAAAAGGAGAGACCCTGCAAAGAAAAGTTCAAAGGTTTAAAATAATTTCCGCGTTGCCTTATATTGACGATGTTATGATGTACAGTATAGAGAACAACACTGAAAACAAAAACTGAAAAAGTCCCCTTGTTTCAGGGTGGTTCGAAAAATGTTGGCACATAATAATGCACCACTCCGACACGTCATCGGAACCACAATCATGACCGGCAAATACCAGCACCGCTGATGTCCTTTGTAATGAAGCTTTTGAGTCGTTTTCGGTAATTATATTGTATAGTACTGAAGCTTACTTTTACGTGATGATACAGCACACAATTTTTACTCCCTCAAGAAATCATTTATCACGCATTCAATTTTCGACGGAGTTTCAACTCAAGTTAGCATTCACCGCATGGAACTTTTCACACTTTCATTTTCTTTCATAAAACATTTTATTTCTAAAGCTGTATACCCATTATCAAAACGTATATGTCTCCTACAACAGTAGTCCCACAATAATTCAATGTTGACAAGAACTGAACGACACGTCACACAACACTTTTATGCACTATCATCAATTTTTTTTCGGCTCAACCGGCGAACAACACGTCGACACACCCTCATTGATTATCAGAAGTGCATGAGGGAGCAACTCAAAACCCTCTCTATATTTTTGTATCACACTATCTATCCCTCACTTGGATATTCCTAATACATTACTGTACTGTATATTACCCAATAGGCTTTGTACACATTTCATAGGGGCCAAGAGACATCACAGTTAAATGCAGACAGATGGACTATGGAGTATATTGAAGACAAGGAAGACAATGTCGCGTTGCAGAATGGAAGGAGAGTCCAACGTGGCTTCAGTGTCAGTGGAAGTCCCGCGCGCTACGTTGAACGCGCAGGGATCATGTCGAAGTCCAGATGTGCAGAAACTCAGAATTCACAAAGAACACCACCTAAAGTCTCTATCGGGTCCCTGATGCATGACATGACTATAGTAATTGACTATTACATGACTATGTTCCCAAACCTTTTCGGGCATGTGGACCAGCAAATTTACCTTAAAATGTTTGAGGACCGGAAATGCAAAAAAAAATTCTGTGGACCAGCTAAGTTTCATAAATTTTTTGCAGATACATAAAATATTAGTAAGATTTTTGGAAGGTATTTAAAATCATCTGATCTTTTGCAAAAATTAATTTAAGAACCAATAAAACAGGTATAGTGGAATGTATTCAAAAATTATGAGGGCTTGAAGAAAGGATTTTCAGAATGAAAAATGAAAATGATTTCTATTATGAGGTGAAAATTTGACTAAAGTTTTATCAGAAGAAAACCCAGAGCTTATTTTTCATGCAATAATTTCAACTGCCCCAGCTTTTTTTTTCTAAAATTTCAGATGAAGATACTGTAATGTCCATTATTGCTACTTTTGGTCAATTTATTAAGCTGAAGAAAATGTTTCCAGGACTGACACAAAATTTCTGAGGACCAGTGCTGGTCTGCGAATCATTGGTTGGGGAACACCGTTATAGACTATACAGTACTTGAAGAATCAAAATCTTTTCCAAAAGGATCAATCCTCAGGTTTTGGAAATGAAGTGAACCGCACACGTCACTCAAGAAAGACCGCGCCTGTCGTTGTTGGGCATCTCATCCCAACTTTCGCTTGACTCACACTCGCAGCGTTTCGTCAATACAGTACATGCAGTGTGACATGTGGCATGCAACCGTGGTGCGATGCTATTGGCAGATACCCAAAGCAAACGATGTGAACGTCAGCACCAGACATTGCAAGCGAACCGTACCCGGAATTCTGTGTTTAAAACTACAGTACTTCACGCCGTATGCATAAGCGCGCTATCAAAGCGGAATGTTCTCCTCATCAAGGAGAAACCCTGTCATACTTTTCAGTTCACCTGGTGGCTCATGCGCGCAATGCAAATTGGTATTCTTGCTTCGAAGCACAGTTGATTTCGAATGCCTGACTTCTTAAACCCACGAGTATAGAGCAGAATTTATGGCTGTGGGAAATAAGCAGAATCATTGTTACCACAGAAATTAACGTGAGCATGTTTTCAAATAAAAGATTCCTTACTTATTACTGTATATAGACTTTTATTTAATTTGAATTGGGATACGTATGTCCGTACCACTGTATGTCTGTCAAAGGGATATCCAGATTTAGCAAAGTTTGCAACTGAAATTTTCAACACTTGTCACATTGATGACAATGCAATGTATCAAAAGTTTAGAATTTCTGAATGGCCAGAAAATTTTAAAAGTGACAAAACACAAATTATCATGAACCACTTGTTTAACCCCTTTAAAACTGTTCAAATTTATGGGTTGTATTCATCAAGCATTGCTACAAATGTTGTGATATTTTCAAAATTTTGGGATGAAAAAAGAAGTTCCTATTTGTGAAGAAAGAAATTCTGGAATTTTTGCAAATAAGAAAAATTATTTTATATTGACATCTACTCATTCAATTGACATGAAACTTTTTCCACCTGTGGAACCAATGAATGTCTCCAAAACCTGTGATTTTTATTTTATTTTTTACTTGGAAACAAAATTGATTTTTCAAAAAATTGAAATCATTTTAAACTCAATTTATAGGCCTAAAAATTTGAAATTCAATTTTCTCTTATTTTGTTTTTCTATAACCTCAATTTTTTGGAATGTTAGGAAAATACAAATTTTCACATGTTTAAAAACTTCTGAAAGCATGGCTTCCTCAACCACCACCACCTTTTCCTCCTTTCTTGCCTCTCTTGAGTGATATACACCAGAATTGTGCAAATCTCCGCAAGAAGTGCTCTGTAGCACACGCGAAAAATGTGTTGCACACTCTCCCAGGACCTGGGTTATAATTCAGGTTCAGATTGGGTTTTTTCTTGGCATGAGAAATGAAAGAGACCTGACACAGAACCTGTGCTTGAGCTAACCGAATGCAATCCAAGCGAGGTTTTGTGATAAAATCTGTTTTTAGTGAGAACAATTCAGAATATATTCTTATCAATAAAAAGAGGTTAAATAAAATAATGTTTAAAAATGTAAAGAATAGACTTTCATTCACTAAATATAAGGAAAATAAACTAAACATCGTTTTATTTCTAATGCTATGCCCATTATCCAAAGGTGTACTCTAGGACCCAACTTTCCATCGAATCACAGTTGCAGAGTTTTGCAGATACTGTACATGCAGTACGACAAAAGGCATGAAACTTGAAAGCTTAGACATCTAACCCATAACCGTGGGAAACCATGATGAAGATTTTAAAAAATCCAAGAGAACGATAATGCATCTTTCACATTAAATTAAAACATGAATTGGATTTGGTCTCAGATAGTTTCAAGAGCAAGACTTTTGCAGTACTTGGAAATGTGGTTGCTTGTGAAAGGCAGCATAGGTGGAATACTGAAGGATGCTTGACTCTTGCAGTACTACTGTACTTCGAAATTCAGGAAGTGCATAATTTTCATCCATTATCAAACTCAAATCAGTTGGAACATGGCTATTTCAATGATAGGCCGTATTCTTCAGGCAAGGTGAGTCTAAACAACAACATGTCTTGTATTTGCCAAACCAGCAATATCTTGGAGTACAGTATTGTACTGTGCATGTATTTTTAGGGAGCGTGATTAACACAAGTTACAGAAGTGACATCTTTGCCTTAGCACGCAGAATAACAAATACAGAAACAGTACAGAATATGTTTACTTAGCACAAAAAGTTCAGCATTCAAGAGTTGATAACATGACGATTTTTTTTAGAGGAACTGTCGTCAGCAGATGGACATTTCGGTTTGCTGTTGGAGCCAGGATTCATAACTGTGAGAAGGCGGGCGTGAGGCAACGGCCGAAACGAACGCATCCGGCGAAGTTCGTCGACCCTTGTTACGGGATCCGCAGAGAAGATTTTTGTTTTTTTAAAGGAACTTTTTCGGATGGCACCCATTGTTAAATCACAGCACATGACGGGAGGACGTTTCCGCTACGAAGTCTTGTTTTGTGGCCCAAAAAGTTCACCGATCCTCCGGTGTTCTGAAGTCCATTGTACTGAGCAGATAAGTCAATAACTGTACTGTTTGAGTTATCAATTCTTCGGAATGAAAACTACGTGCTGATACAGAGTTAGCAAGCAGAAAGAATTTGGAACATAATCTGGAAACTTCAGAATAACTGATTTTTCAAGACAGCTAATTTTTTTCGGATGAAGCAAAGAAAGCTGAAACTTCATCCTGGAAATCCACGGGATGCCATACTCGTGAGAATTTTTTACAGAAAGAAGCGACACCTACATTAAAGTACTAAAGCTTACTGACCAGCAAGTCAGATTTAAAAGTAAGGTGACAACAAGCCCGAAACGAAAATTCGAGACCAGAAATACGTTCACGAGATCTACTGTAATACGATTGAGAGCGGCGGGCTCTATGAAAGTGGATTTCGTTATAGAACTGTGAATTAGACTTGAGGACAATTAATGCATGAGATGTTACAGGACCATGTACGGTACTTTAAACAATAAATCATGTGGATGAATGAATGAATGAACCTAACACTTTATTTGCCGCTTTTCAGCGTTCACAAGGCACAACCAAGACTCCGGCATCCAAACCCCCTCCCCACCCAACCCAACTCCCCCAAAGACATTCAATCACTTCAAAGCATGAAACAAAGGACAAACCAATGACAAAAACAAAAGAGAGAACACACACTGCAAAATAAAACTAGACATCCAACACATATGCATACACCCACCCATCCAAATTTTTGATCCTATCTGTTTGCTAAACCTGGTCACCTGTATATATTACCTTTCACAAAAGTTTCACCAAGTAAATGAGAAAACATGACCCAAAGAATATTTGAGTGAATTAAAATGTGGATGAGATTCAGAATTTAAGGGGCGATCGGCCACATTTACCGCTTGTCTCTGCCCATTGAAATTCCAAGAAAGGTGCTCACCTGGGTTGACGTACTTGAAAAAATTGAACATATCACCACCTCATGCATATTACGTATTAGATTTCTTGTTCCTTAGCGCCTTCGACTGAAGGGGATGAGGCACTAGTTTTTTTTACGGACCAGGAATAAATTCACCTGCGAAAGTTTTCGAGCATTTCAGTCTGATTTCCTGAAAAATAATGAGCTACCGTGTCGTTTTTCCAATTTACGCTTGAATTTTTCCTTTTTTCTGTTTCTCCTGTTATACAGCCATAATACCGTCGTAAATATTGGCTTAAACGGCAGGGGTGCTTAAGCACATCTGCTAATTAATAAAAATTATGCTCCATGAAAATAATCATGCTATGAATTCTTAGCACGAGTTTCATGAGAAGCTTGGGAATTTAAACATGGGTTGTCCCTGTTCCGCGCGGGATGTAGCACATTTTCAGATGCGTAAAAAATGGAGGAATAAAAGGTCTCAATTTTACCTACGCTGTTTTAGGCACACGTGGGATTTTTCTCAGATGTTGAAGACTATTTTCAGTACAGGGCATTATTAGAAGAAAAGAAAATCAGCCCTGTTATGACCAGAGTTTCCCACTCATCCAGTCTAAAAATCCAGAACTTTTCAGAAATTTCAAAACTATGGGGGAAAGTCGAAGCCCCCTGGATGCTTTAATCTCATCATCGCGAAAAAAATAAAATTGTGAAAAAGTACAAAATTAATCAAAATTGCATACTCATAAAAAACCAGTGCTCTTTCATCAACTGACATCAATCAGTGATGCGAGCGAGAGGACACGTGGCGTTGTCAGTTCCTGGACCCTCTTCATCTCCCACACATGTTCGTTCTTCCCCCGTTTTTTCCCCATCAAATCTCAAACGAAGGTCCTCACAATAATTCGGGACGCATCTAACAGATGACCAGATATTTTAGTCAAGTTGATAGCTTGAGGAATTTTCAAAATTGCAATGAATACATTACATCAGGAATCCTCGCTGTAAATGCGGATATCTGCTGGATGAAAATATTTTACTGTACCGTGCATAACCCGATTCGTGAAGAAAGTAAAGTAACTGTTTTCGCAATCTTGACCCACGGACATATTTTCAACTTGATAAAACAATATATTTTCGAGAATATCCCAGGGAAACCCCCGCATTTTCTCGAACGACTCTCTTGAAAAAAAAGGGCGAAAAATTCCAAGGACTTCTACTTGTTAAAATATGCGTGCTGATAATTCGGAAGAACCTAAAATATTTAATCATATACATTTTTTAAAGGGAATCGCGTAGGAATTTCCATCTGACTCTTTTACTTGGGATAACCAAATCCTTAATATTTCAGTAGTTGGTCGAGCTGTATGAGTCTACCCTTTAAGTCAGGATACGGAATACTCCTTTGTATACGCAAAATGTTTTATTCATGGAACAAAGTCGTTGAATTTGATGCTTTTGAGATGAGAAAAAACGTTTAGTCTTAAACCAACGAGAGAGATTAAAAAATAAGACAGAATTAACTCCACTACTTCTAGTAGATTCAAGAGAGAAAATTTGAGGTACAGTATTTTTAATTTGCTCGTGAAAGAAGGCATGCTCACTGAAGAAAACGGATAGAATTTTGAATCATTCTCCAAAAAGGAATATATTTTATAAATAATTTCAGCCTAAGAATTATGAGGTTGATGATGATCCGAATCGTCCTCGGCGTAAAATTCGCCGCCTTCACCGTCCTCTCCGTGGTGCATGCTGTACTCGTACGGCTCCGTGATCCGCAAGCGTTCAGCAATCGCTGAAATCGCTATTTCTTCTGTTAAAAAAATTAAAACAATTAAAATAACCTGGAGTTTCAAAACTTAGCTGGAATTTACGGGTGAGATTAAGGAGAAACCGGTCTTCAGTGAGTATGTTGTGCAGAGCATTTAAAGCGCATTCGTAGTAAACCAGAGTCTGCGTCGGCCAAGTGGTTCTCTCCGAAGCTTCTGGCAAGAACTGCAAAGCTGTCATCCACGCTTTTCTCCATGCTGTGATGTATAACACAAAAATAATATACAAACAATTTTTCAGTCAAAATACAATGGAAATCACGCCAAAATATTGACAAAATGCTGGAACAGTAACTCACTACCGCACTCGACCATCATCTGCTCCACGTTATGCATCAACTCTGGCAGCGTCGCGAAATGAGGATCACGACTTGCCCTGGAATGAACAACAGTTGAAATTATTTAGTAATCATTATTTATTATGTTCAAGAAAATATCCAACCAATTGACGCTTTGAGTGTAAAAAACTGGGAAGATTTCCTTGAGCCGTTTTTGAGCTTTGCGAGCGCGATCAGATTTAGCTTGCTCCGAAGCAACTCTTTCGTATTCCTCCTTTCTTCTGATGAAACCACCCACTGGAACCGGAAGATAATCAGATTCGACTATGTACAGTACTGGCAATTCAATATTATCCAAAATTTCGAATCAATACCCATTACAGCCACGATGATATTCCGAAGCACCATGGCTCCGAAAAATACCCATATAAGCACAGACAAAAATTGTATGACTTTTTCAGTGCTCTCGTTGCTCTGTGACCC